GTGACCGTCCCGACCTATCCCCTCCCCCCCCCCCCCCCCCCCCCCCCTCCACCCTCTATCGCCGCCATCACCCCCATCACCACTATCACCACCCCCATCACCCCCATCACCCCCATCGCCACCAACACCATCACCCCCCACCAGCAGACCATCTGATCCAACCCCCCTTCCCCCCCCCCCCCCCGGATCACCACCCCGCCTCGTCCCCCCCTGGTCTGTGCAAAGTGCCAACTTTGTCCACCCGTCTCTCCCGCCCATGAAGTTTGGCTACCAGTTCCAAAACCTCTGCGGCTCTGTCTACCGCTCGGGCGATGTGGTGTTCACCCCGGATGGCAACACCGTCCTATCGCCTGTGGGCAACAGAGTGACCCGCTTTGACCTGCTGACGTACGTCCTCATCCCCCCCTCCCTCATCCCCCCCTCCCTCCCCTCCGACAGAAGGTGTTGCTGGCGATCAGGATGGTGTCACTGCTCGCCATCCACGGCCGGACGAGGGTCCATGGAGTGTGCATGAGGCGGAGACGGCAGGAGTAGCAGCCACAGATGCGGCAATTAGATGTGGAGAGTGGTCATGGAGTGGAGAATGTAGTGAGAGGAAAGTAGTTGACTTATGTGTGATGTGGAGGGTAGGAACACCTCGTCGACGCTCGCCTTTGAGGCTCGGTCGGACATCTCCAAGATGGCCGTCTCCGCCGATGGAGTGCTACTGATGGTGGTGGATGTGGAGGGCTACGGCTCGCTGATCAACCTCAAACGTGGCGCTGTTCTGCATCGTATCAACTTTAAGGGCATTGTCAACGCCATGGCCTTCTCGCCGCTGCGGGGCTACCTGGCGGTGGCTGTCGGCTCCAAGGTTGTGCTGTGGTACCTGCCGCTGGCGGCGGCGACGACCAAGACCTTTGCGCCCATGATCAAGCTCAAGGAGCTCGCCGGCCACGTCGACGACGTGCTCTGCCTCTCGTTCTCGGGCAACGGTCGGTTCATGGTCACCGGGTCGGCTGACCTCACCGCGCGGGTCCACGCCCTCTTCCCGCCGCGCGGCAAGTCGTTCCGCTCGATCACCCTCGCCGGCCACCGCGACGTGGTTGTGGCTGCCTTTTTCGACGCCGCCTCGTCAATCGTATACACTGTCGCCCGCGACGCTGCCGTTCTCACCTGGGAGTGGATCCCGCCCGAGGTGCTCGAGGAGTACTCGTACTCGGACGGCGAGTACTCGGACGTCGAGGCTGCGCCCGAGCTCGCGCCCGAGCTGGCAGCGATGCAGATCGAGGGCGCCAGCGAGAATGCTGCTGGTGCGAGCGGCGCCGGCAACGACGACGACGTCGACGAGGACGCCGATCAGGCGTTCTTTGGTTCGGGATGGGTGAACAAGGACAAGTTTGAGGCAATGTCCGGCTCGAGCGGCGGCACGGAGCTTGCCGAGAATGCGCAGGAGAAGGAAGAGGAGGAGGAGCGCGAAGAGCTTCTGGGCGGGACGTGGAAGCGGGTAGCCAAGCACCTGTTCAAGCAGGACTTTGCCACGGTGAGCTCGGCGACGATGCACGCGGCGTCGTCGCTGCTTGTGGTCGGCTTTTCGTCGGGCGTGTTTGGACTGTACCAAATGCCGTCGGTGACGGCCATCCACACGCTCTCAGTCTCGTCGACGCGTATCTCGTCCGTCACGGTCAACGCGTCGGGCGAGTGGCTGGCCTTTGGCTCTGCGGCACTCGGCCAGCTGGTGGTGTGGGAGTGGCAGTCGGAGACGTTTGTGCTGAAGCAGCAGGGCCACGCCGGAACGCTCAACTGCGTCTCCTACTCGCCCGACGGCTTGTACATGGCTACTGGCTCGGACGATGCCAAGGTCAAGGTCTGGTCGACGACGACCGGCTTTTGCTTTGTCACCTTTGACCAGCACACTGGGCCGATCTCGGACGTGGTCTTCCACCCAAGGGCAACGCACTGTTCTCGGCCTCGACCGACGGCACCATCCGCGCCTTTGACATGACCCGCTACCGCTGCTTCCGCACCTACGCCACGCCGACGCCTGCGCAGCTAACGTGCATGGCCATCGATCCGGTCGCCGACGTTGTTGTGGCCGGCTCGCTAGACGAGTTTGTCATCTACGTGTGGGATGTCAAGACCGCCCGGCTGCTCGAGATGCTTTCGGGCCACACGGCGCCGGTCTCGACGCTCCACTTTTCGCCGGTCTCCAACATGCTGGTCTCAGGCTCGTGGGACGGCTCGCTCAAGGTGTGGGACGTGTTCAACTCGCTCGGCCGCGCCGGCGGCGGCTCGATCGAGACCTTTGAGGCGTCGACGTCCAAGGCTGCGGTGACGTGCGTTGCCTGGGCGCCCAACGACAAGCTCATTGCCGCCGGCGCCATGAACGGCACCATCGTGCTGTGGGACCCGCGTGAGGGCAAGACTGTCGGCATCATTCACGCCCGCAACGACATTACCGGCGGACGGACGGCCGGAAGCGCCACCACTGCGCTCAACAACCCCGCCGGCAAGTTCTTCACCTCGCTCGCCTTTACCGCCGACTCGACCTGCCTGCTGGCTGGCGGCGAGTCCAAGTACGTCTGCATCTACGAGGTCTCGCAGCAGCTGCTCATCAAGCGGTTCCAGCTCTCGCACAACCGCTCGCTTGACGGTGTGCTCGATGAGCTCAACTCCAAGTACGTGGGCCAGGACGGGTGGGACGTCGAGGAGAGCCACCAGGACGACAAGGACCACCTTCGCGCCCTCCGCCGCAAGGCCATGCCCGGCTCGCTCAAGGCTGTGCGCGACACGTACAAGTTTGTCGTGGCCTGCTCGGACATCTCGTTCTCGCCAACTGGACGATCGTGGGCGGCGGCGACGCCTGAGGGTCTACTGGTATACTCGCTCGACAACTCGGTACTCTTTGACCCAATCGACCTCGACGTCGACATCACTCCCGACGCCGCCCGCGAGGCGCTCGACGAGCGCGACTTCACCACCGCCCTGCTCATCGCGCTGCGGCTCAACGAGGACGAGCTGACGAGCGAGGTGTACCAGGCCGTCCCGCTTGACACCGTCGGCCTCCTCGTCTCGGACGTGCCTGAGGTTTACCTCGACCGCCTCGTGGCGTTTGTGGCCCGGCAACTGACGGCCAGCCCGCACGTCCACTTCCACTTGGTCTGGATCCAGGCTCTCTTCCGCGAGCACTCGCGCGCCATCCGCCGCCTCGCCGCCACCCTCGGCGGCCCCCTCACCCATCTGCAAAAGGCGCTCGCCTCGCGCGCCGACCTCGTCACCGGCGCCGCAAAGGCTAACAAGCACAAGCTGGCATATTTTACCCATGTCCACGCTGCACGCGCCAAGGCTGCCACAGCCGCCGCCGCTTCGTCGTCGTCGTCGTCGCCTGCTGCCATGGCCACCGAGTAAAGGCTCTTGCCAGAGCAGACCGCTACTCAGACGCTTGATGTCTCCTCGGCGCCGGCCGTCGTGTACCCCTTGCGCCGTGCCCGGATGGTGGCCGAGTGGTACTCGGGCTCGGGCTCGGCCTCAAACTGCGAGAGCTGATCGGGAGTGAACATCGGCTCCCGGATAGTGTGCCCGGCGACCGACGCACGAATGACGCCCGATGAATAGCCCTTGACGAGCGAAGCCTCCTCGGCCGCAAGCTCGGCCGCCAGCCGCGCCTCGTCCTCGGGGGAGATGCCCCGCAGCTGGCGGGCGTGGTACTCCACCGAGGCCGAGGTCAGCCCTGAGCCCATGTCGCGGATGGGGAGCATCGCTGGCGATGCAGGCGCGTACGACGCTGCATTCACTTCGGCAAGCACCTGCGGATCAACGTCATCCAGCACCAGGTGCGGATGGATGACCGTCACCCCCTGCGGTCCCGATACAATCGTGCCCGTCCGATACGGCTCCTGCTGCCTCGCCGCCTGCGCTTCGCCATCGGCACCCGGTTGCGAGCGCCCGCCTGTCGTCCGCCGCGGTGGCGGAGTCTCTCCCAACGCCGCCAAATCCGCCAGTCGCTGCCGCTCTGCCCGAGTAGCCATGACGAATGCTAATAGAGTGGAGAGTGAGGATTGAGAGTGATGCGGAGGGGAGGGGGGAGGGAGGGGAGAGAGGGGCAGAGGGGAGGTGACCGTTAGCGATGAACCGAACGAACGAACAATTTGATACAACGAAAGGATGATTGATGGGACGGACGATTGATGGAACGATGGGACGGACCAAACAAACGATGAAACCGTTGAATGATGGAACGATTGATGGACTCGGGGCCAACCCGTCCCCACCACTCACCCCTCCCACCCCCCCCCCCATCCCCGCCTCCCACCCCAACCACGCGCAGGCAACACAGAACTCGAGTCTTCTTCTCCCCACTCTTGACCTCGCCGCTTGCACGTCTTGCAGTGCCAGCAGACAGACAGAGGAGGCGAGATGACAACACGGGCGTTCCCGCTGGTGCTGGACCTCGGCGAGCGGTCGGGCACACGGCGGACGGCTGACCTCGAGGAGGAGACATGGGAGGCACTGACGGCGCTTCGCACGACTGGCGTGCGACGGAAGCCGGTTGCCTTGTCGGTTGTGCCGTCGCCGCCGAAGCGGACGAGGAAGATGTCGGCCCGGGACAGATCGGTGTCGTATGGAGCCCATGTCGATGCCGTGCGACGGAGACGTCGCAGATCGCTGGTGGCCGCAGAGCGAGTGCTTGTGGTGGCGGGGGAGGACGGCGGCGATGCTGCTGAGCAGACGCAGCAGAACAGCGGTCGGAGAAAGCCCGTTCCGCCGATGCTTGGCAAAGGCGCTGATGGTCCGGGATGGCTGGGCACGTCGTTTGCGGCCTTCGACTCGTCGACGTTCCGCACATGGCAGGGCAGTCGGCAGAAGCGGCGGAAGTCGCAGCTGTCGAGCGAAGGACGGCGCAAGGTGGCGGACGCGGTCGAGGCACGGGATCGTGGTCTGGCCGCGCTCAAAAAGCTGCGAGAAGAGGTGGAGGAGCGACAAGCGCTTCAGGAGGCCACGGTCCGAGGGACTGAGACGCTGGTATACTCGCTGCGATCGTCGGTCAAGCCCGACTTTCCGCCGCATGTGCTCGAGCGCGTCGACCGGGGTCAGCAGCATGTTCTATACTTTGATCCAGCCCACGACGGGCCGGTTCGGTCGTTTTGCGATCAAACGCGTCTGTCCGGGAGTGGTACGGCCAGCGATGCAAGGACGTGGCACGCGAGGTGGCGAACAAGCATAGGCAGACCCGCAGTGCGCGGCATGCCCAGCGACGATTGAGGGAAGCCATGCGCAAGGCGAGCGAGGAGCGTCGGTCTGCCTACGAGCGGGAAGTCGAGCACCGAGTGGCCATGCGATCTGCGTCGCGGCGTGCGCTGCATCCTCTGGGGAACGCCGACGACGACGTTAAGGAGCAGAGCTTTGGTGGCAAGCACTTGTATGTGGCCATGCCGCCCGATAAGGCACTCGGCTCGGCGAAAAGTTCTCTTAGGCTCCGGCGTGAGCGGGTGATGCGGTCTGAGTACTCGGGTCATGTAGCGCTAGTCGAGCTCCCGCTGGAGACTCGGCTCGGCAGCGGGTCGCAGGTCACCGACGTGCCGCCGACACCGGCGCTAGACAAGCTCGAGTCGTCTGTTGTCGAGGAGATGGCACACCTGACAAGCGAACTGGTTCTGACCAACGAGGGCAGTGGGCTGGTTCGAATCACCAAGCTCGGTCGGCAGGCGCACCGACGCGCGGCGCGGGAGATCGAGGAGGCCAAGCAGCGGCGGCGCGAGCTCGACGCACTCGTGCCCGAGTCCTCGGTCCTTCCGGCCAACTTCAAAGCAACATACGGCATGCAGTCGTACTCGTACGGCGACATCGGAATGGAGGCCAATGCCGACGGTGTCTTCTCGGTCGTCGCCTACCGCAAGTCGGACTTGCCGTATGGCATGCCACTCCCGACTGGATATCGCGACCGGCTCCGCCAGTATGCGTCGCACGCGGCCGACATCGAGGTGCGTAATCTGGACGACGAGTATGCAGCGTCTGCGCTGGCGGCGGCCAGGCAACTTACTGCCAAGCCCGAGCCGAGCTTGGTGGAGTGATGTGGCTGGCTCTGCCGTGGTTGCTGCCGTACTGGCGTTTACTTGGACTTGGACTTCTTGACGTCAAACCCGCCGTGAATCTCGGTGATGGAGGACTCGTCGATGGCGTAGGCGAACGAGTCGTCGGACCGGCGGAGGCGGAGGAGGGTAAAGCCGACAGCGCCGGCGTTGCGAAGCTTGGCGCTCTTGCCCGCAAAGGTCGACGAAGCCGGAAGAAATTCGTTGAAGAAGGCGCGGAACCAGAGCGAGTGACCGCCGACAATGATGTTTGTCTTCCGCTGGTCAAAGGCCCAGTCGCAAAAGCCAACAAGCCGGTCGAGGCCGCACGAGCGGACCGGCTTGTTGCCATTGTGGAGCGAAGCGTCGATCTGGTCGGCAAAGACAGCGCCGAGGTCAAGGCTCGGGTGGCTAGCGTCGACCCACGACGGGACAGGCGTGGTGCCCGGCGGGGTGAGCGAGAGCGTGTCGATGTTGCGCGAGATCTCCTGCAGCGCCGGCAGCATGACCATCTTCTCGCCGGTGACTCGGAGGCGCTCCTGGAGCGCGATGGCGTTGGTCGAGATGGCGCGGCGGAGGTTGGAGACCGCGTGGACCGCCGGAGTGCCGCCGCCCTTGAGCATGGTCACAAACTTGGACTGCTTGGCGGTGTAGTCCTGCAGCGGGATGGCCGATGCCAGGAACGCCGCCAGCTCTTCGGCCTGTCCCGTTCCGTGTGCCGAGAGCGGGGAGTCGTAGAACCACGAGTCGCACCGGCCTGAGACAAAGAGCCACGACTCGTATGCCCACGCCTTGATCAGCCGCGGGATAAAGTAGATCGGGTTCTTCGACCGGTTGAACGTGTCGTTCCACGTCGACTCACCATGCCGCACAAACACAATGTCGCGGAACGGGACATAACCGGCCTCTGCCGGTGGCACCGCAGGCGTCGCGTACGGCTTCCACTTCTTGTCGGTAGAGAACAGCAGGTGCATCATGCCCTGCGCGTACAGCCTGTGTTGCTCGATGATAGTGAGTGAGGGGGGGAGAGAGGAGAGGGGGGGGGATGGCATCGACTACCCACTTACCGCATCTTGTACAGCACCGACGGAAAGTGGATGATGAGGCAGATGAGCAGAGCGGCGGCAATGATGACAGCGTAGCCGAGGGCGAGGCTCAGCAGCGAGTCGGTGTCGAGGCGAGCATCCTCCCACGGCACATCCAGGACGTTTGCAAGCTTCCCCGGCAGCTGGTCCACATCACCGTTGACAACTTGAGCCATCCCGTTTGCCAGGCGGCTCTTTGCGGCAGGGAGAGCCTCCCACAGCTCGGCAAGGGTGCCAGCTACGGTCTCGCCCGTAGCCAGCACACCGCCACAGGCCACGCCGAGCACAGCCTTGCCCTGCTCCGCCCAATTGTTAACCGTCTGCATCCTTCCTCCGTCCAGCTGTGTGTCGAGAAAAGAGAGTGAGTGAGATGGGTACCCTTTCACACTCCTTCACCTTGCCCATACGGGTGAGAGGCGCGGCGAGACGGCGAGTTGGCGGCGAGGCGGCGAGACGGCGAGCTGGGGGCGAGTCGGCGACACAGCGAGTCGGCGGCCGAGGCTGGCGACGCGGGTTGGGCGCCGACAGCGACAGCGACAGGCAACGGTCTCCTCCGCTACAACCGCTCCCCACTCCCCGTCCTCCTCCTCCTCCCTCCCTCCCTCCCTCCCTTCCTAGACACCCTCATGACGCCCACCAATCCCAAGCAAAAGCCCGTGCCGGCACCTGTGGCCGACGCAGGCGGCATGCTCGCGGCCTCGCTCCGCATGCTCATCTCGCTGGTCTTCAACGCGCAGCTTCTTCCGCTGCTGGCCTTTCTCACCACGGGCGCTCTCTCGCTGCTGCTGCATCTGTTCTTTGCCCATGTTGTGCCTGCGGTTGCCGGTGCTTCGCTCGCCGCCCTTGTCGCCGCCCTTGTCCTCCTCGCCTCCGCCGTTGTCCTCGCCGCTCTCGTCCTCCGATCATTTGCCTACCTCGCCACTGACCCGTTCTCGTCTCGCGAGCATGAGATTGTCCTGCGCAAGGTTCTCCGGCTCGGCGTCGGGAACGTGACTACTCTCGCGGTGGCCATGCTTGCCATCTCAGCCGGGATCTGTCTTCACATCGCTCCTGACGCCGGCGCGCCGGCTGCCTCGCACGGCCCTCTGGATCTGCTGCTGGTGCTGGCGGGCCCAGTCGTTGTCTGCGCATGTGTCCAGGTGGTGGCCGCAGTTGTCGGTGCGCTCTGGGTTGATCTCTGGGCCATGCTCTCGGTCCATCGTAAGACCGCATCGCCGGCGCTGGCTGACGCCTGGACAAGGCTCCTCCTCGCCGCCAAGGTTGCCGGCCTTGCCGCTGCTGCGGCGCTCTCCCTTCGCGGCATCCCTGGCATTCCGCCACATACATCGCCGGGCGAGATTGCTATCGTTCTAATCTTTGGCCAGGTTCTCTGCTTTGCTGGCCTCTGGGTTGCGCTCGAGCTGGCCAGCCTTGTCCGACTTGTGTGGCGTCTGGCCGGGTCGGCCTCGTTCTGGGTTGGAGCAGCCAGTGTGATGGGTGGCGCTCTCGCCGCAGGTCACGTGCTCGGTGGTGCGTATGCCGCCTGCCTCACCATCATCCCCACCGCCGCCCTGCTCGAGTTTGTCTACCTTCGGCGCGTGGTGGGGCGGACCCAAGTTCGGCCGTCGTCGGCCGTTCGCACCGTCACCATGCTCATCCGGTCGGTGGTTGGCACGGTCCTGGTCATTGCTCTCTCACTCCTGGTCTACACTGCATATCAGGGCTGGACATCGCCAGTCATCGACGACGTCTTTACCGTCGACAACACTGTGGCTGGCGTCAGACTCACCCACGAGGGCTACGGTCACCCGCAGTCGGTGACAACGCTTGGCTGGAGCGAATCAACACCGGCCTGGCGGCGCTCAGCCGACTCGCACTCGATCTGCTCGCTCGCTTGGCGAGGCCTCAACCTATTCGACATCGGCTTCCTCGCGCAGCTGGCGTACGTCAACGGCGGGACGCCATACTGGGAAGCTATGACTGCCGCGTTCTTTGATGGCACCAAGGGCAACGGCGGCGACAACGACTGGATCGTGACGCCGCCGGTCACGGCAACTGGTGCCGCAGGCGTTGCCCTCTTTGCCGAGTTCTACTCGCCTACTCGCAACATATCGGTTGTTGCCATTCGTGGGACGAACCCGTCGAATCTGTGGGATGTCGTTCAGGACCTCGCCATCTGGTATCCGGCGGCGCTGCTTCAGACCGCCGTCGCGTTGCCGACCACGCTATCGCTCTGGCCGACCGACGTCCTTGCATCTGTTGTCGGCGTCCTCGGTTCGCTCGAGTCATGGCTCGATCCGGAGCGTGACGCGCGCTTCTACCACGCCCCGATCCTCGCACACCTTCACGCTCGCGCCGCCGAGCTCCCGCCCTCGACCACCTTTGTGGTTACCGGCCACTCACTCGGCGGCGGCCTCGCCAAAATCGTCGGCGCGCTCGGCAACGTCACCGCCGTCGCGCTCTCTGGTCCGGGCCTTTCTCTCACCCGCCACCGATTCGGCCTCAGCCTCGACGCGCTGCAGGACACCAGCATCACAGTCATGCCAACCGGCGACCTGGTTCCGCGCTTCGACATCCAGGCCGGTCTTATCTACCAGCTCACCTGCCCGCACACCTCGCCGCTCCTCTGCCACGACCCCATGGTCTCCATGTGCCACATCTTTGCCCGCTGCGGCTCATCGGCCTGGCCTGCGCTTGCCTCGTGCAACTTTGCGCCCTGGACTGTAGAGTAGCCGGCAGCCGATTTGACCCTCTTCAGGCTGCGCAGCAGGCGGATAAGCGCTTGATCTAGACCTTTTCTACCTACACCCACGTGCGTGAGTTGTGACCATCGTGAAGGCCATGCACAATGCGGCGCAGCTGTCCTCGTTCGTGTTCCTGGCTGCAGGATGAGCGGGCAATGCGGGTTGCGGTGAAAAACAACCACGGAAGAAAAAAATTGCCAAGGTTTGTGGTTGGACAACGTTATCGTCAGCGCGGAAGGAAGAACGAGCGTTTTAGGTTTATGCTGGCGAAGCGGGCCAGGTGCAGCGGGAAGAGGGAGGCCCGGGGGGGAGGCGGGGGGGGAGGGGGGGGGGGCACCGAGGGAGAAAGGGGTACACGGCACTCTCACTCAAAGTCGCCGGTGGGCAATACCAAGGTAGAGCGTCGTGTAGGAAACAAGTAGACGACGTACAGTGTGTGTGTGGCCCATGTCTACCGCCTCGTCGCTGCACTCGTTCCTCGCTGGTCGGTCGGGCAAGGGCGGCAGACGTTCGGTGGGAAGCGACTCGCCGTCGACGCCGACCAACTCGCCGCCGACCTCGTTTAAGCCACAGACCACCAATGTCTTTCCCGGAACGGGTGGCACTGCCTCCCATGACTACCAGAGTGGATTGCCTGTGCCCATGGAGAGCCTGGCCCCACTCCCGCTCCCGCTCCCGCTCCCGCTCGCTGCAAACCCGCAGCCGTACGTCTTTGACCCGTCCCGCAAGGTCACCCTGAGCAACACGCTCGGAAGGGCAAGTCTGGCGAGCTGTGAGGCGTCACCTGCCGAACGCGCCATGGGCGGTGCCATCTCCCGCTTCAAGCAGAGGGCCCTGCCGTCGCAAGTCGCAGACGGCCTCGCGGGCCCGCCAGGTCAGACCCGCGACGAGAGCAAGGTTCGCTCGTCGGGCGTCCGCTCCGCCGGCATCAAGCCTAAGCCCAAGACAAAGAAGAAGAAGCGGACAAGGTTGACACCGTCGCAGATGGCAGTCATGGAGCGAATCTTTTGGAAGAACCAGTACCCGAGCTCCTCCATCTCGCTCGGCCTCTCCGAGACGCTCAAACTCCCGCACCACTCGATCCAGATCTGGTTCCAGAACAGGCGCGCAAAGTACCGCAAGCAGATCAAGTCTCGCACAAAAGAGCGCTCAAGCAACCCCGAGCTTTGCCCGCTCCCGGACCTCAACCCGCCCAAGGCCGCTCGCAAAAAGGACTCGGTCGGGCCGATGGACCAGGAAGGTCTCGCCCGCATCCTTGCCTCCGAGCCAAACAACGGCGCAGACCTAACCGGCGCCTTTCCCAAGACCTTTGAGACTGACCCGGCCTTTGAGGGCCAGCCGGTCCAGCCTGACTTTGACCTCGCTGCGCGCCTCATTGCTGACGCCCGTGCCTCGTCTATCCCCGACTCAGACGACGACGAAGACGACGCCAACCACAAGCAGTCTTCGCCTGTCGGCGTTCGGGCCATGGACGACTCGCATCCGCAGTCGCTTCCCCAGTCGCAGCCTCGCGTTCCTCGCCCGGCCAACCTTCCGCCTCCTTTTACCAACGACAATGGTTCGTTCTCGTCTTCCGAAGGCTCGCTCACCCTCAGCGACGCCGCTCTCGCCTCTGCGCTCTCTATGGGCCTCGCCGGCATGCATCTAGGGCCGTCGGGCACGCTTCATGACCCGGTCATTATGCAAGACATGCCGTCGGGCATGGAGGTGCCGCCGGCTAGCAGTCTTCGCGAAGCCGACTCGCTCGAATCGCTGCCGCAAGCCTCGGTCTCCTACAATGGCGGGCCGGCAGCAGGCAGCGGACCAGCCGAGCCACTCAATCCGTTTGAGCAACGAGTCCGCGCCAACTTGCAGTCGTCGCTGGCCGGCACTCACGAGTCGATTGCACAACGCGCAGCGCAGCTGGAGCACGTCCGTGAGCTAGCCGCTGCCGCCGTCACCTCGCAAGGCCAGCAGCAGCCGATGGACTGGCTTGGGCCGATGCGTACCTCTGGCTCGGCACCGTACTCCTCGCCGGCCCTGGGCTCGTCCGAGGCCACCTGGCCCATTCCCACTGCGAACTCCAACTCGCTCCGCAGTGCCGCCATGGCAGGTGCCTCTGCCGCGCGGTCTGCCTCTCACCAAGGCCCGCTCCGCATACCGCCATCTGCTCCCTCGCCGGCGCTCACCCCGTCTGGGCTCTCGACTGAGTTTCCGCCAGACTCTTCGTTTCCGTTTGGGCCTATTGAGCCACCCACCTCGGTCTTTAACGGCAGTAGCCTCACCGGCCTTGGCACCTTTGGCATGGACGTCGCTGGTCAGGGTCTTAGTTCGGGCCTCAGCTCGGGCTCCCTCGACGCCATGTCGGTCCCGCAGCAGCCGACGGGCGGTCTGCCGTCGTACAGCTCGCTCTCGCATGGCGGCGGCTCGTCGCACTCGCTTTCACACTTTGCCAACCCGTACGATCTACTCGGTGATCCTTCATTTTCGTTCAACGTATGAGCCCCGGCCTCGTACCTAATTGCTCCTACCGAAGCGCTTTGGCGGCCTGGACGAGTCCCACCAGTGGGCTCCCGCTTGCACTTTCCACCTCGCCTGCATCGAGGTAACGCAGCATGTCCAGGACTGCGCGACGGACAATCGGGCCCGCGCCACACGGCCCGCGGCTCGCCATCATGTCTTTCAGCCCGTCGACGACGCCTTCAAACGACGTCTTACCGGCGTCGACGTTGCCACTGGCAAGCGCCCCTGAGAGCTCACGGAGCGCTTTCGAGACCCGCTCGAGTGCCGCGCCGCGCGCCTCGGGTTCGCCGAGTGGGCTTGCCCTGTCATCGGGTCGCTGCGAGAGCTCGCGTACATGCTTGAAGAGCTCGACGAGATCACATAGTGCGGCGCGGATTCCGTCGAGCCCCTTGACCGACGAGCTCGACGCTTCTGTCGCCGACGACGACGGCGATGCCGAAAGTGCATCGCGGCTCTCGGCGAGGAGCGAGGCGAGACATAGTGCAGCGACGGAGGTGTGTAGCCGATCAAGACGAACAAATAACTTGTCGCGAGTCTCGGAAGCCAGCGAGATGAGTGCCATGCGGAGCGACTCGGCGGACGCGGTGGCTAACGCCCGCGCTACATACCGGACATGGACGCTGAGGTGGTCGATGACCATGCTCATGGCCTGGCCGGACGCCGTCCGCCGCCGGGTCGACGGCTCGGCCTCTTCGGCAGCCAGCGCGAGCGCCTCAGCGCTCACGTTGAGCGCCGACGACGCTACTGTCTCCATCGATGCCTCAAACAGCGACGGATCGACCGACGCTGCCGACACCTCTTCTTCGACTACAAACTCGTTGAGCGTCGAGGTCCGCCCGCGGCGGCGCGATCCTCCCCGCCGGGCCGACACCAGCTCTTCGGCGTCGACCGAGACCTGCGCCGACACGGCGCTCTCCGACTCGGCCTCGGCAGCCTCCAGCCGCTTCTCGTGCTCGCGGATGTGGAACATGATGGCGCCGCGTGACGGCCGCTCGCGGATGGCCACTGGCAATGGTGGCGCATCCATGAGCTCGATCCATGCCTCGAGGTGCCGGATGGCGGCAACCTCGTCAACGGCCACCAGGCCAGTCTTGCGGTGGAGCGCCGCAAGCTGCCTTTTGCGCTGCTTGTAGAGCTCAGGCGCCGCGACATCGACCTCCATCAGTGACGACACCAGCGAGATGGCATCCTCCAGCCAGACGCGAGCATTCTCGCGTGGAGAGTTGAGTGCCGTTGTCACCAGATACATCACTGCCTGGTCCTGCAGCCGCGTCGAGTCCTGTGCCGAGCCGGCCGCTGGCAACGCCGCCAGCCGCTGCTCCAGCTCCTCGCGTTGCTCCTGAAGGAGGAGCGAGACGGCAACCTGCTGCACTGTTGTTGAGGCGAAAAAGTAAGCACCTCGGCTTGATCGCCGGCGTCGGATCCGCGCCGCGAGCTGTTCTCCGACGGTATGCCGAGCTGGTGAGGTAGGCTGGACGGTTCGGAGCTCGACTCGTCGGCCTCGGTGTGGAAGAGGACCATGAGGTCCGGGCTGGACGTGGCCACCACCTCGCCCACAGCCTGCTCGCTCGTCTCGCCTGTGGCCTCGCGCACAAAGTCCATGTGCACCAGAGCGTCCAGGTTGGCATTGATGAGCGCGCGCTCGTCGTCAGAGAGTGAGCTGCCTGACGACGGGTAGAGAGCAAGGACGCGGGCAAGCGAAAACTCCATGCCCACCACGGCCGCGACCTTAAGGGTGAGACCCTGCGATGGAGTGAGCCGGTCAATGCGCTCGGTGATGAACGACTCGATGGCGCCAGGCACAGGTAGCGCCTCGAGGAGCCGCGCGGCGGCCAGCGAGTCGATCGCAGACAGCCTGCTCGCAGAACCATCCGGCTCCGACGCCGGTGCGGGTGGCGCAGCATCGGCGTCCCACGCCAGCGCCAGTGACGACGCCAGTGCGCACACAAAGAAAGGGTTCCCGCCCGACTTTTCAAACAGCGAGACGGTGACCGCCGGCGGCATGTCGCGCGCCGAGCCAAAGTGCGAGCCGAGTCGAGTCGCGCGAAGCTGCTCGGCCGCAAGCTCGCCCACCGACTGGACAGAGAGCGGGAGAAGACGGTGGTGGACAACGTTGGGTTGGGCGAGGAGCTCGCCGTAAAACTTGGGCACCGGTGGTGCGTAGTTGGTGACGGTGGCGACGACAAAGATAGCGCCGGTCAACCGCGGCGCTTGCACCAGGGCCCACAGCAGCTCGCGCGACGGCGAGTTGAAGCAGTGCAGGTCTTCGACAAGGAGCACGACTTGCGCGCGGGCATTACGTCCGGCCTCTCTGTCGGACGGAGCCGCCGCTGCTGCATACGCAAAGTGAGGATGGACGACCGGAAAGTGCATCGAGTGCTCGTTGGGACCGTGCGGGGTGATGGCCGGTGAGTCGCCCGAGACATGGGTCACTGTATCCCAAAACCACTCGAGAATGTCGATGAGAAAAGCGACGGTGGCGGCAATGCGCGCCCGGCCGTGGAGCTTCTCGGTGTGGGTCGACTCGGGCAGGACCGAGAGCGGGATGCCCAGGAGTTTGCGGAGTAGCGGGAGCCGCTTAATGAGTGCCCACTCGGAGGAGAAGAGGTCAGTGAGGGTGGCAACCTGGGCCCGCGGGTCGGCGTCAGCGCCATCGAGACCGGTCTCGCCGAGAAGGAGGCGGGCAAACATGGCGCGGAACGGCGCAAACCATGTCCGCTGGTCGAGCGGTCGCCCTGTGACGGTAAAGACAAATAGCGGACGCGCCAGCGACTCAAATGCTTTTGCTTTGTCGAGCAGCGGCAGGAGCGCCGATGATGACGAGCCGAGAACGGTCGACGCCCGGCGGGCAGCGGCGGCCTCGGACGCCCGGCGCGCAGCCGACGACGTGGCTGTGCCACCGGATGCCTGACGGAGACTCGGCGCGTAGAGGAGCTCGCCCGAGGTGAGCGTGGCGAGAACCTCGGCGAGGATGCGGGTCTTGCCAAGACCAGCAGCGCCTTCGAGAATGACAAACGACTTGCGGAGCAAGTCGTCCTCGCTCCGGTTGTGAGCGTGGCCAGCGAGCGAGGAAAAGCCATGAAAGGTGGACGCTGCTCGGACGGCGTCGCTGGCACGGTGGAGGAAGCCGTGCAGGGTCTCGTGGACCAGTTCAAGCTCGGGGCCGCGGCCGACAAGCGGGACAGCAGAGTCGAGTGATGACGGCAGGTGAAGGGCCGGGCTGGGCGCGTCCGAGAAGCTAAAGTCAGGCGAGTAGACGGTAACCGGTTCGGCCTTGCCCTTGAGCTTGAGCGGCGGACGGCGCATGAACGTCATGTTGGGAATGTGAGCGAGGACACCAGTACGGGTGGCCTCGTCGACAATGACACCGCCCTTGGCCGAGGCCATGAGCCGGGCCGCGGTGTTGACCACATCGCCGATGACAGTGTACTCGCGGCGCGCGTCCGAGCCAACCACGCCACAAAAGGCCTTGCCGGTGGTGATTCCAATCGACGGGGTGAAGCCAAGGTTGGTCGACATCAGCTCGCACGCCATGAGCGCGGCAAGGAGGGCGCGAAGCGGATCGTCCTGGTGCGACGCTGGCTGCAGGCCAAAGACCACGAGAAGAACGCAGCCCTTGTCGTCGAGCAGAACCTTATTGAGCTCGCCCTCGTACACACCCAGGGCAGTCTGGACCATGTGAACAAGGGCTTGGAGCGAGGCAAGCGCCGGCGAACCGACCTCGAGGCACAACGACGACGGCACGCCGATGAACATGATCGAGAGGCGGCGGAGCTCGGCGACGAGGTGCTTGCGGCGGTAGTAGAGCGAGACGGTGCCGGTGATGCGCTGAACTACGCGCGGGACGTACTGGCGGAGCTGGACCTCGGTGCCGGCAGCGAGGACTGGCTGGCAGAGTGGAAGGAGCTTGGGCACCTTTTTCGGCTTGCGTATGCCGGTGATCTGGACGTGGCCGGCCTTTTTGTCGAGGAGCGTGCCGTCCATGAACGATTTGGTTGCCGACCAGACCGCAGGCATGACAACCAAGCGGTCAGGCGAGGCGGCTGAGAGCGCCGGCCCAAGGCTGTAGAGTGGCTCGCCGACAATGAGGTACTCCCACTGGTTGGCGAGGCCGCCGACCTGGCAAATGGCGAGGTTCCCGGCGTTCATGGCGACGTGCAACCGCATAGCCGGATCGGGCCGCATCGTCGGCGAGTTCATCGACTCACAGATTTCCAATGCCGCCACAGTGGCACGCTGGACAAGCTCGCGCTTGTGCGGCTTGGAAACTTCGAGGAACGGCGCCGAGGCTGAGGCTGATGAGCCCGGTGCGGCAGATGGCGATGGTAGGACGCCCGGTGGTGGATCATCGCCCGCCACCAGCGGGAGCACCAGCTCCGAGGCCTGGTGCGGGATCCACGGCGCGGTTCGGCCCTCACTCAGCGCAAGGGCAGACGCGGCGTCGTAGCCGGCCTCGGTCAGGCCCCACACGGCGAGGAGGGCGTCGCCAGCAAAGGTAATGATGTCGCCGCCGTGCTTGTGGACAATGGCGATGAGCGAGTCAAAGTACGCGTTGAGCATGCGGACTAGCGACTCGACGCCGTGCGGCTGCTGAGCGAGCCGCTCGGTCAGCGGCGTAAAGCCCGAGATGTCGCAAAAGACAACAACGCCGTAAACGGAAAGGCCGACGCGCTGGCCTCAGCACTGGTGGTGGTGCGGGGAGCCCAGGCGCTTGAAGACGCGCCGGCAACCGAGGTCAGTGTCTCACCGAGCGAAGCAGCTCTGCTGAGCTCGGAGGCCGATCGGGCATGCGCAGCCACGCACGACGCCGCCAGCGCCGACGGGATATACGACGCCAGAATGGCCGAGACCGAAGTCGGATCGCTCTCACCAACCACAGTGGTGGTGCGGTAGCGGTAAGGCTGCGGCTCGTCCTTGAAGGGGATGATCGCCGAGACAACATGGTCGAAGAGATGGGCATGGGTGCGGATGGCCTCGCCGATGGCGACGGCCGAGAGCCGGCTCGACGCCCAGCCGGCGACAACCAGCCAGTCGACAGCGGCGTCGCCGAGGAAGACGTTCTTGTACTTGCGCAGCCGGATCTTGTATGACCGGGTGACGACGGCAGCCTTGAAGGCCTCGACAAGCGAGGCAAAGACCACAGGGTCGTCGAGGCGGGCCAGCTCGGCATCGGCCACCGAGTCGCTTGCCGGCGCGCGCGCCAGGGACTCGTGGACAGGTACATCGTCACCCTCTATCGACGACGCCGCCAGGACCTGGGCAATCGAGGTAGACTTGGCGTCGTCCTTCCACACCGTGTACAGCAGCGTCTCAGACGGGACCTTGAGCGCCTTGAACGAGCGCCGCCGCGAGAGTTTGCCATGCTCGTGCGAGCAGAGCCGGAGTGTGACCGAGTTGAGGACCGGGATCCAGAGGGCGGCAATGAGGTCGACAACAACCTCGGGTGTGTCCTCGGGCATCACCTCGACAACGACCTTGTTCGACGTCGGCCGGTCGAGAACAACCAGCCGGAGCAGCCGCGAGGCGTCAGCGATGGCCGCGGCAGCGGTTGTTCGGAGCGGCACGCCGGCAGCAAAAGTGATCGGATGGAGAATGAGAGTGTCCGGGAGAACGTCGCCGAACAGGGTGCCGAGAGGCGATTCCGGTGGTGCGAGGCCGGAGAGCAGGCCCCAGCCGGCCGGATTGGCCAAGGCGTAATGTGCGCTAGGCGCCGAGAGCGCGGTCTGTGCCTTTGCCAGGAACGATCCCAGTTGCGTAGCAGGCTCGGCTCTGATGCGGACAAGCTTTGGCTCACGACCGGCCAGCACGACTTGAATACCCAGCTCTGGAGCTGTGTTGTCTGCCAGCGACCGTGCAAGGGCCACAACCGAAGCGCGGACGCATGGCGGGAGTAGGTGTGGACAGGCGAGGGCAGGTGAGGGTCTGCCGCGCACGGCTTGCCGCACCCAATGCACGCCATGAAGGGAGGGGAGTGCGTGAGGTGGAGGTGCCGAGTGTGGCGCCTATGGTGGCTTTGGGGCAAGGGGGAGGGGCTGACCGGAACGGAGCGACGGCGGCGCGGGACAACCAACGAACATCAATAGTCTGCCGAGCCGGTTGACGGCAGTCTCGGTTGGCGCGGGGAACAATGGTGGTGTGGAAGTTTGAATAAATTTAGAGTTCGAGTCACGGCACAACTTGTGAGTGTGGCCGACTACTCAATTGTGCTGTAGCCCACATCGATGGCTGTCGACGGATGTACGCTGCCTGGCTTGTCTGCTCTGACTACGCTACTTGCCATGATACCGTTTGAATGTGGTTGGGGCCCATGCCCAGCTCACACCCAGCCGTAGCGGCGTATCACAAACAAAAACGAGCGGCGACTGTGTGCCGTGACATCCGTTTCCCCCGCCAACGACCACACCCGCTCGGCGGGCGCGGCCACCAGGCGCACACCACCAGCGCCACAACAGAACGGGTTATAGACGGAACCGCTTGACGCCGAGAGAGGATCACTCATGCCGTCTCCCTCTTCGTCAGCGGCAAGAACCCGTGCCTACCGCAACACCACCGTCGGCTCGGCCCGCCCGCGGGTCTCGCCGGCAGCGCCCTCGCGGGCCCGCTACACAGCGTCGTCGCTGCGGGCGGCGGCGGGCAGCGGCGACGACTCGTACTCGCGGCGGAACGGAGCAAGTGCCGAGCCGAGCGGGGCTTTGCAGGCGACGCGGGGTGTGGCGACGGCTCCGCATGCCCACAAGCACCGGCGCATTGTGTTTCGGGCGCCAGGCGCCGATGCCGGTGCTCCGCCGCAGGCCCGAGTCGGCCTGGTTGACGAGGCAGGCGGCGGCGATGGGCGACCGGGTAGCGTGGGCAGCAAGCGGCCGGGGGCGCTGGCACTGGCCCGGGCCCGAGCGGCGACTACTCGTGGCTCGCCACGGGTCTCGTCACCGTCAACCGAGACCTCGGCCCGTATCGCCCGCCTCACGTCCGAAATGGAGGCGCTGGCCATGTCGGGCGGAGAGGTTGGCAGCGATGTCGAGGCGCGCAAGCCGTACTACGGCTCATTTGAGTCGATCCGATTCTCGCCGCGATCATCATCGCCGTCGCCGGGACTGGCGTCGCTGGCCGGCTCGGCAACTACGGCCTCGCCGTACGCCACCACCCGGGCGAGCGGCGTGCCGCGGTCGAGCCGGCCGGCAACGGCAGGCGCAGGCGGTGTGTACTCGGGCTACGCCCCGTACTCGGGATCGCACGAGACGCTGCCACCGCCGTCTCCATCTCCGGCAGTCTCATCGGCTGTGGAGGCGCTCCGGGCCTCGCTCCGCTCGGCGAATGCCAACGTGGTGCCGCGCCCGGCCGAGCCGCGCCCGGCGAGCGCTGCGGCGGCGTCGAGTAGTCGCGGCTCGTGGGAGGACCGACTGCAGCTTCTGGAGGATGCGCGGCGGAAGCGGTTGTTGCGGGCCAAGGCGCAGGCCGAGCGCGACGATGCTCGTGCGAGGGCACGTGCCACCGAGTCGTGGGATGAGCGGCGGGCGCGGCTGCTGCGCGAAGCTGACGCCAAGGCGGCCGAGGCGTCACGTGCTGCAGGTGTCGGCGGCCCGCGGGCACGGCGCCGGGTAGGCTTTGAAGCAGCCAGTGTTAGCTCGGGCTCGAGCTCGGCGAGCGCAAGCGGCTCGGCTCGAAGCAAAGCCCGACCGTCAAGTGCGTCGGCGAGCGGGCGGATGCAGACGTTTAGCGAAGTCGGCGTCGCCGAGCATGCAAACCCCAAGTGGCGGCGGACCATGGAGGACGCGCACGTGGCGGTGGCGGCGCTTGGCGGCGACCCATCGCTCTCGTTTTTTGGCGTGTACGACGGGCACGGCGGCCGGGGCGCGGTCGACTACATCGAGGCCACGCTCCACAAGGACGTCATCCGTGAGCTCAAGCGGATCCGGACCGATTCGGACGAGGCCATCACCCGCGCTGTCCACAAGGCGTATCTAGCGACTGACAGCTCGATGGTGGCGGCGGTCCACGATGACTCTGGATCGACGGTTGTCACCGCACTCATCCGGGTCACGCCGCACGGCGAGCGCAAGCTGTACGTAGGCAACGCCGGCGACGCGCGGGCAGTGCTCTGCCAAGAATCGATCACCGGGTACGGTGTCCTCGCCAAGCGGCTCTCGTACGATCACAAGGCGTGCGACAAGGGCGAGGCCGAGCGTGTCCGACGGTCGGGGGCTTTGTCTCCATGGGCCGCGCCGACGTGGCCCGGGTCAACGGGACGCTGGCCATTGCGCGCGCGCTCGGCGACCACTCGATGAAGCGGCAGGTCATTCCAGACCCGTATCAGACGGCAACGACTGTTCGCGCCGACTCCAAGTTCCTCATTGTGGCCTGCGACGGCCTGTGGGACGTGATGGAAGACGACCAGGCCGTCCGCCTCGTCTACGGCATGGACTCGGCCCAACACATGGCCCAGCGGCTGGTCGACGAGGCCATGCGCCGCGGCACAACCGACAATGTCACCGTCATGGTGGTCATTCTTTAGCCCTTGGCACTTCAGTCGTTTAGGCGGATGGTCGTGCGTCTCAAAGTGAACATCACATGTCGGCGTTTGATGGCAGCGTCCACTCTCCACTACAAATGGCTAAAACCCAGAGTCGTCTGATCCATGCTCGTCGTCCGAGTCCGAGTCGGTGACCAGCAGCGGCGTGTGCTGGCTCGCTCCAGTGACAGCAGCGACAGGCTGTGGCGCAAGGCGATCACGGGACGCGACCCGCGGAACAGGTCTCGGGGCAGGCGAGGCGAGACCAACACCCGAGCCTGCAGATGTGGCCACCGCCGAAGCTGGGCCCGACGACGCACCCATGGCGCCGTGGACGGTATCAGAGAACGTGTTCTGGATCTGCGAAATGAGGAGGGCCTCGGTGGAGCGGAGCCGGCGGACGTGGGCCTCGCGCTCGCGCTGCAGGTCGAGGCCTGCGCGGCGAAGCGCGTCCTCGAGCTCGGCGATGCGAGCGTGGAGTGCGCCGGTCGAAGCTTCATACTCGGAGCGGAGGCGGCGCTCGCGCGAGGCAGCCGACTCGAGCTCGCCCTTGAGCGAGTCGACCTGGGTCCGCAGTGTTGTCCGGGCCGACTGCAGTGATTCGACCTGGTGCTGCCACTTGTCGAGCTCGTAGCGCAGGTTGGTCTTGTCTTCCTCAAGCCGCTCGCGTGCGCGGTTGCTCTCCTGCAGCTGCGAGCGGAGCGAGGCCGCCGCCGCCGCCGCCGCCTCATCGGCACGAGCGGCTTGGCTGTGGGCCTGGCGCAGAGCGTCCTGGGCGTCGGCAAGCCGCAGAGTCGCGTCATCGCGGGCCTCCTCGGCGAGCTTGAGCGCATGCTTGTGGGCTGTGAGCCGCGAGGCGACCTCGCGCTCAACGGTGGTTTCTTGCGCGGCAACAACCTCTTGGAGCTGCTGCTGCAGCGAGGACGAGCGCTCGCGCTCGGCCGAGAGCGCGCGTGACGTGGCAGTGCGGTCGGCAAGCGCCTCCTCGAGCTTGGCGTCGTAGCGCGCGAGCTTCGAGTTCATCTGCTCGTGCATGTCGCGGACAGCGTCGGCATGCTCTTGGCGGAGCGCAGATACCTGGTCGGCACGGGCCTCTTCAGCGGCGCGGACCTGTGCGCGGACGGCATCGATGCGCTCGTCAGCCGAGGCGCGGGCGGCCGAGAGTGCAGCTGAGAGTTCATCGGCAAGGGACTTGAACTCGTCGGCGCGCGCCTGCGCGCGCAGCGTGTCGGCCTGGGCCTCGGCAAGCTCGGCATCGGCGGTGCCGCGGGCGGTGCGGAGGCGAGCCTCGAGGTCGGCAATCGTCGCCCGCTCGGCGAGGAGCTTTTCCTGCAGTGAGGCAACGAGGTGGGTCGACTCGGTTCGCTCATGCAGCAGCGCCGATTCCATATCCATGGCCGCCCGCTGCGCCAGCGACTTGGCCTCAAATATGTCATTCATCTTGGTCTCCAGATCAAGGAGCTTGGCCTGGCCGGGCGTGTAGCTTGGCTTGGAGCCAGGATGGGGCGAGGAGTAGCTTGAGGAGGCTGCAAGCGTGTTGGGGGCGAGTGCCGCAAGCGGCGTCCGAGCCTTGGTTGCCGACGCCGGTGTGCGCGCTGGCGACGTGCCCGACGCGACAGCGTTGGCAGCGAGACGAGCGGCGATGGCCTCGACCACGTCGGTCGGCACCTCGTTGCCGGCGAGGTCGAGGCGGGTGAGGGCCGAGTTGTTGGCGAGCGCCTCGACGAGGTAGCGGCCGCCCATGATGCCTGCGTTGTTCCACCGAAGGTCCAGAGTCCGCAGCGAGGTGTTGGTCTTGAGCGCCGACGCCAAGGCCTCGACACCTTGAGGGCCAACCCGGTTGTTGCGGAGATCGAGCATGGTGAGCGAGCCGTTGACGGCCAGCGCGTCGGCAAGAGCGCGGATGCCGACGTCCCACACCCCGATCGAGTTCCACTCCAGAAGCATGGTCGAGAGCCCTGGAGGACCGTCACGGAGCAGGCGAGCGAGGGCGAGGGCGCCGTCGGTGCGGATGTTGTTGCCGCGGACGTCGAGCTTCTCCAGCGGGGTGTAAGCGACAAGACCCTGGACAAGAGCCACTGCGCCATCGTCGCCAAGAAAGCAATCCGAGACGTCGACAATCGTCACAGCAGAGTCTCCAACCTCGCCGTGGTTCGCCTGCCAGCACAGTGCGGCCGCCAGGGCTGTGCATGTCCGTGGCGCGAGGTGGACCGACGAGAGGGTCAACGTGCCCGACGCCGCTGCCGCAGTGAGGGCCGACGCCACTGCTGACGACGGCTCGACCCCGACACGAGTACACTCGCTGGTAAAGGCGGATGCGAGGGAGGAGGAGGACATGGGTGGGGGGTGGGGTGGGTGGTTGGGGTTGGGGAGGGGCGGTGATCGGTGTGGCGAATGGCGAATGGCGCCAAAGTTCGGCGCCGAATGGAGGGGACCGGGTGGGGGCGGGCGTTTACGCGCAAGTCAGCCTGACCTGCGTCAGACGCTTTTAGCTCGAGTAGCAGGAGCAAGGCCTGGACATGTACATGTCATGTCGGCAACTACCATCCGGGACGACGGGGCGGATCGCGCATCGCGAGCGGCGCGGTGTAGTTCTGAGGGATGACACCGCGCGAGCCCGAGGCGTTCTCGACAAGCGCCCAACCGTCGTCATATTCGGCGATGATGGTGAGCGACTCGCCTTCGACGAGGGAGAGCTCGTCGCGGTTGGAGGCCGCGAATGCATACTTGGCAACAACACTGTTGGCAGCCGGCGCAGGCGGGAGCGGCGGCGGCGGCTTGGAGATGGTTGCCAGTGGCGGCGTGGCGTAGGCATCGTACGATGCTGCCGGCGACTCGCCGCGAGTCGAGTCGTAGGTGGCGAGCTCAAAAGCGGCATAGGTGCTCGGATCGGGCGAGTCGTCGCCCGAGCGGCGGACAAGGAAGATAATGGTGGCGACAAGAGCAAGAATGACAACGAGACCGACAGCGGCAATGATGGCGATGCCCGAGGTGCCTGAGAAGGCCGACGGCGATGACGTTGTCGGCTGGGTCTGCTGGGTGTTGTCGATGGCGGCCGGTGCGCCGGCAAAAACAGCGCTGGTCTGCTCGTCGGATGAAATGGTGATGTAGTAATCGTCTTCAGCGCTGCGAATGACCAGCGAGGCCTCCCGCCCGGTGCTGACGTCTGCGAATGCTGGGTCACCGCCGCCGGGCTGGTGCCGACCGAGAGTGAGAGCGTAGCGGTCGATGATGCAGGCGTGGCCGAGAGCGCCAGATCCGACGATGCTGACTGCAGCAGGCTGCGGAGCGCAGCACGAGAGGCCGACAATGAGGTTGAGAGCCAGATGAAATACGGCGAGTTGGGCGCGACGTTGACATTGAGCTGGAGGCGCGCGCCTGTCCAGTCGATCTCGTCGATCGCCTTGGCCACGCACGCGGTGAGCGACGGGTTGGGGATCGAGCCAAACTCGCACGTCAGAGTCGACGGAGGAGTCGGCGCGGGTGTAGGGCCTGGAGTGGGGTTTGGGGTCGGCGCGGGTGTAGGGCCTGGAGTGGGGTTTGGGGTCGGCGCGGGTGTAGGCGAAGGCGTAGGCGCAGGCGTAGGCGCAGGTGTAGGCGTAGGCGCAGGTGTAGGCGCAGGCGTAGGCGCAGGCGTAGGCGCAGGCGTAGGCGCAGGCGTAGGCGCAGGTGTAGGCGTAGGCGCAGGTGTAGGCGCAGGCGTAGGCGCAGGCGTAGGCGCAGGCGTAGGCGTAGGCGCAGGCGTAGGCGCAGGCGTAGGCGCAGGCGTAGGCGCAGGCGTAGGCGCAGGCGTAGGCGCAGGCGTGGGCGCAGGCGTAGGCGCAGGCGTAGGCGCAGGCGTAGGCGCAGGCGTGGGCGCAGGCGTAGGCGCAGGCGTAGGCGCAGGCGTAGGCGCAGGCGTGGGCGCAGGCGTAGGCGCAGGCGTAGGCGCAGGCGTGGGCGCAGGCGTAGGCGCAGGCGTGGGCGCAGGCGTAGGCGCAGGTGTAGTACCCGACACGGTCCAGTCGACAACAATACCCGCCTCGGCGGTGTTGCCATCACTCACAAAGCGGAACGTGCCGTCGCCGCCGATCGTCGGCAGCGCGGTCGGCGATCCAGTGTACGACCACGAAGACGGCGCCGTGTCGGTGAGATAGAGCCAGTCAAAGTCGGGCTCGGTGTTAAAGTGAATGACGTTGAACGAGACCTGGGCCGAGAGCGGGTGGGTCCACGTCCAGCGGCAGTCGAGGTTGTGACTGTAGGTGCCAGCCGGGTCGTAGGGGTCGGGGATCGAGATCCGGCCCGAGGTGCCCGAGAGGAAGACCGTGCCAGAGCACGGGGTGCCCGGCGACGGGGTTGGAGTCGGCGCAGGCGTCGGCGAGGGCGTTGGCGGCGGAGTCGGGGTCGGCGCGGGCGTCGGACCAGGGGCGCCGCAAGAGGTCACCATGGCGGTCGTCGACATGAACTGCTGGTTCTGCTGAATGTTCTCGGCGCCCGACATCGGCTCTGGCACCGTCGACGAGCCCGAGACCATCAGGCCCTGGTAGTCCTCGGCGTCGGTTGTGGTGGCGATGTGCAGGTGCGGGCCGGTCGAGCAGCCGGTGTTGCCGGCATATCCGACGACCTGCCCACGGCAGACTGTGTCGCCGACCTGCAGGTTGGCAAACGAGTCGAGATGCGCATACAGCGTCCGCACACCCTGCCCGTGGTCGACGACCACCCGCAGCGCGTGGCAGCACCCGTTGTACGTGTTGCGGCAGTCATCAATCTTGAAGATCGTACCGGGCGCCATGGCCAGCACAGGCGTCCCGAGCGTCTGCCCGTTGCCCACATACAGATCCAATCCGTAGTACTGGTTGGTGTACCCAACCCGATCCACGTAGATGTGGCCCGCCGAGCCGGCGTTCGGCCCGTAGCCTGACGAGACCACTACCTGAGTTCCCGACGGGAAAGGCCAGTCGAACACCATCCCTGCCGGAAGCAGCGTGCCTCCCGGCTCAGGCGTTGTGATAGCCACACACCATCCGGTCTGTGGCAGAGAGAGGGAGTGAGTACGAGGGAGGGAAGAAATAGAGAGAGAGGAAGAGGGAGACGGCAATCAGCTGCTGCTACCATGTTGTGGCAACATGCTCGCCCCAAAACACCTGCTCCAGGCCCGCTACCAGCCAGCTTCTGTTGCCAGCAACGCGTGCCGCACCGCCTTCCGCGGCCGTCGTTGCAAGACCCTCCACAGACACACACACACACACACATACACACGTACCACAGCCAGCATGACCACCACAAACACAGCGGCATGCGTATGAAACATCTCTTAACTGTAGTCTTGAGAGTCGAATACTCAACCACACCCCAAACCTGCCCCAAGCCTCAGCCTCGTCTTCCTGCCATCTGCCAAGCTTCTCCTCTATTGCCTGCCCTCCCAAAAATCGCCAACATTTTCGGTTGCCATAAAAGCCACAGACGGCAGCCGACATGAAACGAGCGGACGACTTGGGCCAGACCACTTGGACTAGCATGATTGCACCAACTCGGCATCGTGTTCGTCGAGCAATCGCCGCTGCTAGTGAACGAGCACTCTGAGCCTCCGGAGGCTTGTGTTACGAGGTCCTGCACGTCAGCACGAGCCCATCTTCGACGTCCGCGATTGCGGCTTGGTCCTGGCGCGGTCCGAGCTGGGTCGCTGTCACAGGTCGGCGTGGTGTGGCCGAGACCGAGGCCGTGCAGAGGCCAGAACGTGCTCACTCCTCTTTGGACCTACAGGGTACCACGTACTCGAGACTATCATGTTGAGTGCAGTGCGGACGGCCATGGCGGCTGTTGCGGGCATGCGGACGGTGGCGACGACGGTGGGCAAGGCAGCGACGGGCAAGGTGGCGGCGGCAGACAAGGCGGTGCCCGAGGTGTACGAGCTGCGGACGTACGCTATCCAGCCGGCGCACTTTCCGGCATTTATGAAGCTGACGGGCGAGAAGATCGGCCTGCGAACGGCGGTCTCGCCGCTGCTGATGTACGGGGCGACCGAGATCGGCGGCGCCAACGAGGTGGTGCATCTGTGGAAGTACCCGAGCCTGGCGGAGCGGCAAGGTGTGCGCGTGGCGCTGGCGGGCGCGGCCGAGTGGAACGCCGACTACATGGACGTCATGCGGCCGATGCTTGCCGGGCAGACGAACCTGACGCTCTCGCCGCCGGGCTGGGCCGGGCCGACCGCCGAACCTGTGGCTGGCGAGCCAGCCGGCGCTGTCTACGAGCTGCGCATTCGCTCGTTGCAGTGCGGCATGGCCGATGCCTGGTCCGAGCTCCTCCGTGAGGCTCTGCCCTCGCACCCGGCCGGCGACGCACTGTGGGCAAACCTCATGGCCACAGTCGGCCCGCACGGCGAGTCTGCGGCTGTCGAGATCTGGCGTTTCGACTCGTTTGAGGCCCGCGACGACGTCCTGGCCTGCCTCGGCCAGCCGGGCGTCATGCCGCCGTCGGACGAGGCCACCGCCTGGCACAATGCTATGGAGGACTCGTTCCTCTACGTTGAGCACGAGGCAACCAAGCTCATTCTGCCGGCGCCGTTCTCGCCGTCCCAGTAGCAGGTAAACGCCAGCGGAGACAGCAGACACGGCACACACGTGGTGACCCGAGACTGCCTACAGACGATGCAACGAGAATAAACGAGCTCGACTCGGCTAGGTTCTTCTTTACTGGAACGTCGACGGGCGGTTCGGGCGGAAGGTCTTGGCGTACTGCTTGTCGGCAACGCGCATGACGTTGTGCGGGAGCGGGAACTTGACGTCCTTGTTGACGAACTGCTTGATGTTCGCGCGCTTGACAGCCTTGGCCTTGATGACAGCAGTCTGGACAACGTGGATGTCGCGAGCACGGGTGCGGTGGCGGGAAGCCATCTCGCTGTACATCTGCTCAATAGCGTTGGCACGGGTGAGCGCACGGTACTCCTTGTACATGTTGTGCGTGCCGGACCGCGAGTTGTAGCGGAGCCAGACGGCAAAGTTCTTGACGCGCGGGCGCTTCGGCTCGTGGATCTGGTTGATCGAGAGGATCTCACCGTCCATCTTCTTGAGCTTGCGCTGCTTGGAGAGGAAGTACCAGAAGCGGGACTTGGCGACGACCTCGTCCTTAGCGAACAGGCGCATGCGGTAGATCTGCGGCTTCGGCATGTTCTCCGTCGGGCGGCGGCGGCCAACAACCTGGTACTCCTTCAGGGTCATGCTCTGTTCGTCGACGCGTCCATGCTCTGGTGTAAGTTGAACGGCCGACCACTGCTGGCAAAACACACACAATCATCCCAGCCGGGGTGACCCCGCCGCGCCGTGTCGACCCACGCCCGCGCACATCCACACACTCTCTCGCTCAAGACCAGCATGTTTCTGCTACATGCTTGCACAAACAGAGCAGGACAGGAAGGATGTTGTGTGGGGCTGGTGGGCAGAGTGCGCGAAGCACAGGGTGCTGCAGCCGGCTAAGCGACGAGGGGCATCAAACAAAAAAGCGTCGCCGCCATCAGTGGCCCAGAGGCCGAGGGCCACGCAAGCAACCGGGCGTGAGAGCCAGGCATGGACACGCCATGGCTGAAGATAAGGTCAACAGCCACGTGTGCTGTCCGAGACATCGCACCCACTGCAGGGGGGCTGCAGCACGGCGTCACCGCCGCGCGCTTCACCCGCGGTCAAATTGTCCGACACCGGGCGAGGGCAGCCGAGACGGCCACAGTTCGAGGCCACACATACACCGCCAGAGCATCCACAGATCGACACCCACGCACACCCTGCACAGCAGGTGCGCGCATGGAGTGCTACATGGTGCTGTGGCTGGTGGGGGCATGTCGGAAACAAACTGCTTGCTCATCCCTCCGGGGCGCGTCGCCCAACTCACGCACTAGCCACTTTGGAAACGTACGATTGTGAAGACAAGGGTAGCGAAGAGAGTTGCCAAAGTGAGAAAATACATTTGCGCGAGCTCAATTCGTTCGACTCGAGGCGAAAACGAGTTTTGACTGCCAAAGTGGTACGGCCAGCAATTTGGTGCGGCTCGTTGGCTGATGCGGTCGAACCATTAATTTCAGAGAGGGGGCCAATAATAGCTTGTAGCGAGTGCGGCCGAATTCATCGATAAAGTGAATGAGAAATAGTCGAAGGAAAAGGGCCGCACAGGCGGAGAAAGTTGGGAGAGACGCCGTGGAGGGGAAGGTACCCCTCTTTTGTCAGCTGCTTGGTTGCAGCGAGACAACCATTGTTAACCCCCACCGTTGCGGAGCTCCACCCGAGAGAGTGGAGAAGCGTAGCAAGGTGCGTGTGGCAGGCTCGAACGGCGTTGCCGTTGGCTGTGGGGACGTCGACGAGGCCGTTGGTGCGGCACGTGCGTTTGGAGCGTTGGAAGGCGCGGCAGGCGGCGAGACGGGCAAGCCGGCGGCCGTGCGGAAGCAGGCGAGCGGGAGCGGAGCCAGGCGGACGCGAGTCCGTGGCACCGACGGTGTAGCAGACAAGGAGCGTGCGTGCGGCATGGGCTTCCAGACGAGGATGGTTGCCGTGTTCTCCAAGTACGTCGCTGCGTACACAAAGCAGATTGTGGCCGACGTCCGGTCCAAGACCCGGGCGGTGGCGGCCAAGGTGGACGTGGCGGTGGCGGTCGGCGTGGCCATGGCGCTGGGCGGGATGGTGGCAGTTGGCGCGACCGTGTACTACGGCCTGCTCACGCCGTACCTCGAGTGGATTGCCGCGCTCGGTCTCTGGGGCAACGCCCTCATGGTCGTCTCGTTCGTTCCGGTCTCGGTCCCGTTTGTCATGGGCTACACGCCGCTGACGCTGGCAACCGGCTACATCTACGGCATCTACGGCGGCATAGTCACCTCGCAGATCGGCGCGCTTCTCGGCGCGTGCGTGGCCTTTGTAGGCACGCGCATGCTGTGCCGCGACGCGCTGCGGGCCAAGCTCGACAAGTCGCTCAAGTTCCGCGGCTTTATGAAGGCCGTCGAGTCGCACGGTTTTAAGATCGTCGTCCTCATGCGGCTGGTTCCGGTCCCGTTTGGCATCCAGAACGGCGCCTTTGCCGTCTCAAACATCTCGTTTGGCCGCTACATGGTCGCCACCGCTCTTGGCGTCCTCCCCGGCCAGGTCATGATCAACTACTTTGGCACTACCATCCACTCGCTCGGCGACATCCTCTCGGGCAAGCACGAGTTTTCCGAGTGGCAGACGTATATGCTCTACTCGCAGGGTCTTGTGGTCGCCTTTCTCTTTGTCTTCCTTGGCTACCTTTCCAAGCGCGCCATGGCCTACGCCGAGCTCGACGACGCGCTCGACATTGCCCGGAGCTCGGGCAAGAGCGCCATGGCCTCGTCGCCGCACGGCTTGGCCGCCGCCGCCGCGCCTGTCGTCCTCACCGCTGCTGCCGCCTCCGCCGCCGCCGCTGACCATCCCGACGTCGACGCCACTGCCCGCGACAAGTGCCGGCCCCGGACCCGGACCCGTCGCGCTGGCTCGCACCACAAGCGCCATCTCAAGGCCTCGTCCTCCGAGGACTTTGACACCCTCCTTGGCGCCGAGTCGGGTGGCCTCTCTGTCGGCCCGGGCAAGAGCCTGCTCACCTTTGACTATGCAAGGCGCTCGCGCGGCTCTGTGGCCGAAGAGACCCGCGTGCTGCGGACAACCTCCAACTCGAACATCGCCCTCACCGTTGCCCACCACCATCCCTCGCGCCATTGACTTGCGCCAGCTGTTGTTTGTAAACGTTACGATTGTTTTGCACAGACTCCTCCCTACCTTCCACTCCCCTGCCCCCGGGCGGACGAACACACACTTGTCGCTGTCAGCCGACATGTCCACCGAGCCGATCGATGGCGTTGTCTTTGAGGAGGACGACGACGGCTATGTTGTTCGCTTCGACTCGGACGATGGCTCCGAGGCTGAGCCCGAGCCCGAGCCTACTCCCGAGCCCGAGCCCGAGCCCGAGCCCGAGCCTACCCTCGAGCCCGAGGCTGGGCTTGAAGGCCAGGGTGACGAGCCCTTTGAGTTTGACGAGGAGCTCGACGAGATGGTCGAGATCGATCCAAACGCTGACAACCTCGACGAGGTCTTTGCCCGACTGTCTGCGGGCGAGCCTGTGGCCCGCATCTTCTCCAACGCTACCGCCACCTTTTCCGGGCACACCGGTACGTTTTGCCATGACTTGCCGTGCTCGGCTCTGCCTGTGTTGTCCCTGCCAGGCCCCCCCCCTGTCACTGGCGTCATCATCCATCCTGGCAGACCTCGCGACCTGGCGACCTGACGAGGAAGGCAATAGTGAGCTATTGGTCGGGTGAGGAACAGCGACTTACATGGGTGCACAATGCGGGGGGTCTTGAACGGGGGGGGTCGGTACAGATGCGGTGTATGCGTTGGCACTGAGCCCGGATGCCGCGGTGGCGGCGTCTGGCGGCGGCGACGACAAGCTCCGGGTGTGGAGCACTGCCGATGGCTCGGAGCTTGTGGTCATCGACTCGTTTGCAGAGAGTGTGGCGCATGTGGCTTTCTCGGCCGATGGTGGGTACCTGGCCGGCTGCGATCTCGACGGCAACGTCCGTGTGCTTAAGACCGGCAGCTGGGAGGTTGTGCTCGAGCTCGACGGGCCCGACGGCGCCGAGAGCATGGTCTGGCACCCGCGCGGCAACGTGCTTGTGGTCTCGTCGACCGACACGACGGTGTGGATGTGGCATGTGCCGTCGGGCAAGATCATGAATGTCTTTGCCGGACACACCGACGCCGTGACCGTCTGCGGCTTTGCTGCCGACGGCAAGACGCTTATCTCCGGCTCGGCTGACGAGTCGCTCATTGTGTGGTCGCCCAAGACCGGCTCGCCGGTCTCCAAGGTTGTGGGCTACCCGTTCCACGACGCGCCGATCTCGTCGCTCGCCGTCGATCCGCGCGCGGACGCCGCGCCGCGTGTCGCCACCGGCGCTCTCGACGGCTCAGTCCGTGTCACCTCGCTCGAATCCGGCAAGGTCCTCGCCTCAATGACCCACGAGGGCTCGGTCGAGGCCATTGCCTGGTGCTCGTTTGACGACAAGTGGCTGGCGACCGCCGGCATGGACGGCAACGTGGTGGTGTGGGACCTCTCTGTCGCCGCCCCGCGCATCACCCTCGAGCACAAGGAGGGCGTCATCGGCGTTACCTGGGTCCCGAACCAGCCGCTGCTCTACACCCTCTCGTCAGACACTTCGATCCGTGTTTGGGATGCACGCTCCGGCGAGTGCATCCGCACTCTCCGTGCCCACGAGGACATCCCGCTCGCCTGGGCCGTCTCCGCCGACGCCACCTGCCTCATCTCGGGCGGCGACGACCGCAAGGCCTATGTCTTTGCTCCGCTCGACCTCGACGCCGCCAAGGACAACTCCGACGATGCTGCTGCCTCCTCCACCGTCCACGCCCACGTTGCTATCCCGCCTGGTGCCGGTGAAGATGCCGATGCTACCGCCGACGCTCCGGCTGGCGAGGCTTCTGATTAAGAGCAAGTGCGAACGACGGTGTCCTTGACTGGCTTCGAGGGTTTCGCTCTTTTGATTTCGCCGAACTGGGCCCTGCTCTCGGGTAGGGCCCATTATTATTCCTGCGACCCTCACTTTCCGGTTTTCTTTTTGCTTCCCGCCTCACCCTGCACCGGCTGCACGTGTGTGCGGTGTTGAGCATGTGGTTGCTGGCGCTGTGACCTTCCCAGTGCTGCGTGAGCAGCCTTCGATGTCGCTGCATCGACTCTGTCTCTGGCATCTGCCTTCCATTTTCGGTAAAAATTGAGGTTTGAATCCGCACAGGCCGCACAGGGCCTAGTCCCAGGCTTGCGAGCGTTTGAATGCGATGGTAAGACAGTAGGAGACTAGGGCGGGAGAACCGGAGTGCGAAAGCGGGCGGCACCTTGTGCTCGCTTACGCGGGGTGCAAATCGTGTGCGTGACTTTACCACCCGCGACGATGCTGCCGTCACGGACAGCCTATGGCGCTCGATGTACACGATCACAGGTAGCAAACACAGAATCGACTGCAAAAGTACATGGCGTAGGCCACGACACACCTTGCGCCTGTCTAGACGGGAGGCAGAGCCCGATCCGCGAGCAACAGGCCGTCGCGTCGATGTCACTTGCCAAAATGTGTGATCACCAAAAAGCCGCTTCGTGCTTACTATGGCACACTAATTGTCCTTGCCTCACATCGCACAGCAGATCGAGTCACCTCCCGAGGAGTTTCGTCGTCTCCCCCCCCACCAACCTAGAGCTGGACCACGATAGCGGCATAGCTTCTGCTGTGGACACAGCCAGTCTCGTCACCAGCCATCAGCTGTCCTGCCCACCTCGCCGCACCCATTTGCTGCAACTTCCCGCCAGCCACCCAACCACCAACCACGCCCACTTCTCGCCCACTCGGCCGCGTGTCTTCACCGCACCGTAGCCAAACTCAACCAGAGGTCTCTGTCTCGCACTTGACACACCGCCCTATCTCCCTTGGGACGCAACTTGGCGCCGCAAGCCGTCCCACTTGGCGGAGGAGACCAAAGCGCGCCATGTCGTCTGCGGCGCAGCAGGTGACAGAGAACATCCAGCTTGCGCGCGAACACGCGCTGCTCGGCGACTACGACTCAGCGCTGCTGTTCTACGACGGCGGCATTGCCATGGTGCTCAAGCACTTGCACTCGCTGCCGCATGGTCCCGACCGCGAAGCCTGGACCGGCCTCAAGGACTCGGTCACCACCGAGTGCCACACGGTCAAGCACATCGCCTCGGAGCTGGCGGCGTTCAAGGAGAAGCCGTCGCGGATGCGCCCGGTGGTCTTTGATCCACCGCCGGGGCATGGCTCAGGCATGGCTGGCGGCTCTAGCTTTGGCGCTGGTGCGCGCCCGATGCCGCATCCGCCGCTGCCAGACGACCCTGACGTTTGGCCGCCACCGACCCCGCTGCCGCCGTCGTCGCCGGACCGTCCGTCGCGAAGCTATGCGCCACCGGGCAAGCTTGCACGCTATCAGTCGTCGACAGCGGCATCGTCAGCCAAGGACAAGATCCGCGGCGGTGACCGCATGCCCAAGTGGGCCAAGCCGTCGAACAAACAGCACGTGGCCGGCCGCGACGGGCCGGCCGGCCGCTCGCGTGGCAGCCGCCCCGGCGGCCGTGGTGATGGCGGCCGCGGCGACGGTGGCCGCGGCAGTCGCGGTCGCGGCCGTGGCGCTCGGGGACGGGACGGTGATGTTGACGATTCGCCGCGCGCCCGCGTCAAGCGGCCCAAGGCGTCCAAGGCCGGCCGCTCCCGCGCAGTCGCCGACGAGTCGGCTGCAAGCTCCAAGAGCAAGAGCAAGGGCAAGAGCAAGAGCAAGAGCAAGGCCAAGTCATCTTCGGGCTCGTCCTCGCATTCAGACAAGCCGTCCAGCAAGGGCAAGCGTAAGAGCAAGGGCAAGGGCAAGGGCAAGGGCAAGGGCAAGGGCAAGGACAAGTCAAACTCGGGGCCGTCGCGCGACGACATGCCGTTTCCGTCGGCGCGTCGGCAAGCTGCGCGTGTGACTCGGCCCAAGAGCTCGCGGTCTCGCGACTCCAAGCGCAAGCCGCCGTCAACCGCCTCGTCGTCGCGGTCGCGGGCTCGCCGGCCCGGCTCTGGCTCGGGCTCGGACTTGGGTTCGGGCTCAAATTCGGGCTCGGGCTCGGGCTCGGGCTCGAGCAGCTCGTTGACCAGCTCGTCGTCCGAAGTCATCGAGCCGTACCAGCCGCAGCCGGGCGAGGACATGGAACTGGTACGAATGATCGAGACGGAGATCCTGTCTACACGGCCAAATGTAAGCTGGGACCAGGTGGCCGATCTGGAGGATGCCAAGCGGCTGCTGGAGGAGGCAGTCGTCCTTCCGCTCCTCATGCCCGACTACTTTCAGGGCATCCGGCGGCCCTACAAGGGTGTGCTCCTCTTTGGCCCGCCTGGTACCGGCAAGACGATGCTGGCCAAGGCTGTGGCCACCGAGTGCTCGACCACTTTCTTCAACGTCAGCTCGACCACGCTCGCCTCCAAGTGGCGAGGCGAGTCGGAGCGCCTTGTCCGCATCCTGTTCAACATTGCGCGGCACTACGCGCCCTCGACCATCTTTATCGACGAGGTCGACTCGCTCTGCTCCTCGCGCTCGTCGCCGAACCAGGCTGAGAGCTCGCGGCGTGTCAAGTCCGAGCTGCTCATCCAGATGGACGGCGTCGGGTCGGCGACCCAGGACGCGTCCAAGTCGGTCATGGTCCTTGCCGCCACCAACTTTCCGTGGCTCCTCGACGAGGCTCTCCGCCGCCGTCTCGAGAAGCGCATCTACATCCCGCTGCCGTCACTCAAGGGTCGTCGCATGCTGCTCGACATTTCGCTCCGTGGTGTCGACCTCTCCGACGACGTCGACCTCGACTCGCTCGCTACACGCCTCGAGGGCTACTCCGGCTCGGACATCACAGAGATCTGCCGCGACGCCGCCATGATGGCCATGCGCACCCGCATCCGCGGCCTCACTCCGAAACAGATCAAGGCCCTCTCCAAGAAGGAGCTCGAACCACCGGCCACCATGGCTGACTTTGAGTCAGCCCTGAGCAAGATCCACTCGTCCGTCGACGCCGCAGAAGTCGCCAAGCACGTCAAGTGGGAGGCCGAGTTTGGGTCAACGTAGTTGACATCAAACAACACCAGCTACGAGTGCACCTCTGACGTTCTGCCGTGCCCCTTTCTCCTCTTCCCCTCTCTTATCTTGCCGCCCTTTTTCTTCCCTTTTTGCGGCCTTTTGCGGTGCTTTTCTTGCCGTCGGCACGTGCCACTCATAAGCACTTCCACCGCAGTCACAACTTGCCACTCACTGACCCAGTGCGCTACACACCGCTCTCCCCACACTCTCATCCTCCTCCACCACTTCCTCCACCGGTTCCACCACTCTCCCCACCTGTCCAATCCCTACCCACCACCACTCTTGCTCCTCAACTCGGCGTCTTGCTCCTCACCAGCATTCTCTGCACCTTCCACCCACTTTGCGCGCGCTAACTCCATTCGGCCCCACGCACGCCAACTGGCACGGACCGGCGTTCTATAGAATCGAGACTTTGCAGCCTTTTTTCGGACCCCCCCCCCCCCCCTCCTCTCCTCCCCCCCTCCCCCCTCCCCCTCCCTCCCCCTGCGAACATAAGCATGATGGCCTCGCGTTGGGGTTCTCTTGGAGGCAGTGGACGGTGCGCACGGAAGAGCTGTCTCAAGCGCGAGCGGACGTACTCGCCGTGCTTGCCTGGGGAGCGGCCTGTCACGCCACCGCCGTCCAAGCGCCATGCGCCGCTGGAGGCATCGGCGCCGGCCTTGGTGGCGCCGCGGGTGATCCTTCCCCACTCGACACCCGTCCATCCGACGAGCACCGGGGGCAGCACTGTGGCTCAGGCGGTGGACATGCCGCAGGCTCAGGGCTCGCCCGCTCCGCTTCGGCGCTCGGTTGTCAAGCGCATCAACTACCAGCCCCCGGCCGCCCTTGCTCCGCCGCCGCCGCCGTGCGAGCTCCGGGTCGTTGCCTCGCTCCGCGAAGAGGCTGCCCTGCTTGCCTGCCCGCCACTCGCCCGCTTTGATCTCGGCAACATGGCTGCGCTTGCACCCACAGGCTCGTTCTCCATCGCCGCCGCGCTGCCCTCGCCGCTGCCGCCGCCGCCCTCGGCCTCGCGCCCTCTCTTTGTCCATCGCGCCCGCGCATCTGCCATTCTCCACGCTCCGGCTCGTCTACCCGCCCGTGGCCGTGCTTGCTCAGCCTCGTCGTCAACCGGCTGTCCTCGCCCGCTCGCCGTCGGCCCATGCTTCCGGTTGAGGGTGTTCCAGCCGCCTTCGGGCCGCTGATCCCTCCCCCCCCCCCCCCCACTACTGCACATGCCTCAAGTATCCTCACTCCTCCCCCCGATGAATGAAGGTAACTTAATCTGCGCAGTGCCCGCGCCCGTGCCTGTTAACACCTGTCTTCCCCCCCCCCCCCCCCCCCTTCCTCTCGTGCTGGCCGCTGATGGCCGCACCGCACCCGGCCTACGCCTGGGCCTCACCACTGCGGCTCTCAGCATCAGCAGCGCGACATCTTGCCGACGCGGAGCTCCGCAGGGCGTATGCCCGCCCGGCGTCTGCCTCTGCCGACCGAGCGGCGTCGGTGCCGTCGTCGCCAGCGCCGGCGGCGCTCACCCATGCGCCACCCGGCTGCGACGTGCTCGCCGTCGACCATGCAGCGTCTCCCACACGAGCAGCAGCGGTGGAGAGTCTTGTTGCCCGCATGCGGGCCGCCCGCTCGCGCTCTGCTGCTAGTTTGACAAGCCCGGACAAGGTCTCACTCGACTCGCCGTCGCCGTCCCGACCGTGGAGCCCGCCACGGGCGCCGCGGGCTTCGCTGGCGGAGCTCCTAGACGACGCCCGCTCGCCGCTCCCAGTCCCAGTTCCTACCCAAGTCGTCGATCCGAGCTCTCCGTTGCGCATCCGCATCGGCAAGCGCCGCCGCTTCCGCCGCATGGTCACGCTGGCCACAGAGGTCAAGGATGAGGTCAAGGCCGTGACCTCGTCGCTCGACTCGGCTGGCAACGACGATTGCCTCTCCGATGGCTCGCCGTCATCGGACTACTCGGGCTATTCGGCGACCGCGACGTCACCGCCTTCCTCTCCGCCGTCACCGGTCTGGCCGCTAGCGGGCAGCCCGACGCCTCCACCGGCCGAGGAACACTTTCTCACGCCACTCACCGTCCGCCGCTCTGCCACCCGCGAGCCGGCCTCGTCGACGGTCTCGTCTGAAGGCTCGACCTCGGCCCTGACAGCGGTCCATCGGGCAACACCCATGGCACTCTCACCAGCACCCGCCTCGTCGAGTTCATCGTCGTCGACCTCGCTGCGGTTCGGCCTCTCGTCGTCGAGCTCCTCGCCCGACGACGCTGTCTCGGACGTCTCGATGCTCTCTGCCTATCACCGCAATCGAGAGCACCGGCTGTGGCAACGTGGTCATCACATGGGCGCGTCAGACGTTGGAGGTGTGCTCAATTCCTCCTCGTCAGCGTCGGCGTCTCCGCCATCGCTTTCTCCGGCTAAGCCTCCGCGGCAAAGTTCGTCGGGCGTCACCCGTCTCCCTATTGTTGAAAGCCTTGGCTCCAGAGGCAACATTGACTCGGGCGTGGCCAAACGAGTTATGGAAGAGATTGATCCGAAGCAGGCACGCCAGTCACTTGGCACGGCCGAGCTCGATGCGCTCCTTGACTCGTCAGACGTGTCGACGGCATCGTCGCCGACGCCTGCGCGCCACGTTGCCATCCTTCGTAAGCGGATGGCGGCTGCCAAGCTCAAGAACCACAGGCATTCGCGCGAGCTTGCGCTCGACGAGTCGCATGTTGTGCTTGGTGGCCTCTCGCCGGTGCCAGAGGCAAGCGCCTCGCGCGACTCGCTGGCCTCGCTGGCCTCGCAGCGCGAGTCGCTGGCATCCGTCGTCGCACTCTTGGACACTGTTGAGGCTAGCGACGGCGCCGAGGCACTGCAGCTTGAGTGGTCGTCGGACGATGGTGATGCCGCCAGCTCGGTGGGGAGCGCCGTCCACCCCGAGCCGCACCGCGTCTCGCAGCCTCTCACGGCCGAGTCGCTGCAAGCTGCAGTGACTGCCGCACTACCGCCGCATGTCGACTGGGACGAGGTCGGCAGCGAGTGGATGGCCGAATTTGAGTGGGTCGGCAACTTGCCCGCCGACGCGCGCGACGACGAGCTGGTGCTAACGGTCCAGAGAGGGACGCGCATCCATTTCCTGGAGGCCTCTAGCGACGGAAACGCCGAGTCTGAGTCCGCGTTGCCGCTGTTTGGCGTCCACAACGGACACTTTGAGCAGTCGTTGTGGTGCATGACCGAGAGCGGAAAGCCACGGCTTGTGCGCGGGCTTCCGTGGTTAGTTGTGCTGCATCTCGCGCTGCCACGTGCCCACGAAGCGCCGTTCTTTTTCCTCTTTACGCCGCTACTGATCCGGAGCGGCTCAAAGGCACGGCAGGGCGTGTCGGCGGCTGGCCTTGCGGCTGTCATGCTAGAGGCGTTTGAGGCGAGCTCCACACGGGCACAGCTCCGACTCGGCTCGCTGGTCCTCGAGTGGGTCCATCGGCATCCGGAGGACTTTAGTGAGTGTCGAGTCGGCGGGCGTCTGCATGGGCTCATGTCCAAGATCGGCGCAAAGCTGAAGCTCATTCTCCCGCTGTTTGGGACTCGGCTTGATGCACTGTTCAACCGGGCGCTTGAGCTTGGCGCCAACGGCAAGCACATTGCCGCGGCCCACGTGTTCGCGCACCAGCCGGGCATTGAGCTGGTTGCCATCGGCAGGCGGCATCCGCTCGACGGCCTCGCGCTGCGGAACAGTCTCGCCACCAGCATCCAGGTACTGATTAATCTGCCTGCGGAGCAGGTGGCTACTGCTCTGACGCTTGTGGACCTCGCCATGTTTGAGCTTGTGGCAGACCGCGAGATTGTGCAGCTTGTTCGCGAGCAAGTGGCTACTGGCGGCGCCTCGACTCTCGTCGACGTTCCTGCGGTCGGCGCAGTACTTGCGCGGGCGGTCCACATCGAGCGGTGGGTCGTGACGTGCGTGTTGGGTGGGATCTCATCGACCCGGGTGCTAGAGGCTTTCATCGATGTGGCATGGGAGTGTGTGGCTCTGCGCAACTTTCACACTGCGGTTGCGATCGCGCGCGGACTCGAGGATGAGGCCGTGCGGGGGTCAAGGAAGCGTGGCGTGGTTTGAGCGCGCGGGCCAAGCGGCGGGTGCGCGACGTCATGCACCTCATATCTGCTGATAACGACTTTGCCGGCTATCGCGCAGCAGTGTGTGAGACACCAGAGAACGAGCTTCGGCCGTGGGTGCGGCGCGCGGGCCGTACGTGGTGCCTGTTGTCGAGCTCCTCATTGCTGACATCAGGCGGGTGTTTGAACGTGAGCGCGAGCGCGCGGCCGCACAATGGATCTGCGCCTCACACACCGAGGGCGGGCAATGGGTTCTGCAGCCTACGGCGGTGCTTGCGGCGCACCTTGCAGCGCACACGGCACGTCTCCCACGCCTCGATGCTGATGCAGCAACAGAACCGGAGCGCTGGATGGCAAGCTGGCTGCTCAACACGAAGGAGCTCGGGAGGCTAGACGACGGGTGTCCAAGCACGCTCTCTCGGTATGTGGCAATTATGGCAAGCGGGATAGATGATACCGAATCGGTGAGAGAGTTGTTCCACATGGTGATGGATATTCCGTTTGAAATGTAGGCTGTGCGGGACGCGGCGGGCGGGTGTGGCGGCTACTCGTTCTCGACGACAACGGCGTCATCGTCCGACGGGCCGGCGCGGATGACGCCGATAAAGTCGAGGAAGCCGCGGAGCTTGGCGAGGATGCCGGCCGAGTAGCCCATGCGAATGGCAGTCTCGACGAGCGCAAACGAGTGGTTCTGGATGGGGTACTCGAACGGCTTGGGCAGCGAGGTGGGGAGGCCCCAGCGCTCGGTGACAACGGCGACGGTGGCAGAAGCCTCGCGGAGGCCCTCGACGCCGTTGAAGCGGCCAAAGCCCGAGTGCTTGACGCCGCCAAACGGCAGCGACTGCATGGTGTAGGTGATGCCGTAGTCGTTGACGACGGCCATGCCGGACTTGATGTCGGCGACGATGCGGTTGGCGCGGGCAGGCGAGGCCGAGAAGACCGAGCACGAGAGGCCGAGCTCGGTAGCGTTGGCGATGCGGACGGCGTCGGCGTCGGTCTCAAAGGCAATGACGAGCATGACCGGGCCAAAGACTTCCTCGTGCATGATGCGCATCGAGTCGTTGAGGTCGGTGAGGATGGTCGGCGCGTAGTAGTAGCCGCCCTTGACCTTGAGGGCCTTGCCGCCGGTGACGAGGGTGGCGCCCTTGGCGACGGCGTCGTCGACGAGGCGCTGGACAATGTCGATCTGGCCAGGGAAGGTGATGGCGCCCATGTCCTGGTCGGCCTCAAGCGGCGGGCCGACGCGCATGGCCTCGGCGACAGCCTTCATGCGGGCGAGGAAGGTGTCGAGGTGCGAGACATGGACAAGCTCGCGCTCGCACGAGATGCAACCCTGACCGGCGCCGAGGAAGGCGCGGCAGGCGTACTGGAAGGCGAGCTCAAAGTTGGCATCATCACACACAATGAGCGGGTCCTTACCGCCGAGCTCGAGAATGACCGGCTTAAGCGTCTCGGCGGCAGCGAGCATGACCTTCTTGCCAGTCGCCGGTGAGCCGGTGAAGAAGATCTTGTCCACAAGCGGCGAGGCGACAATGGCGGCGCCGGCGTCGCCGTAGCCAGTCACAAACTGGACGAGGCCGTCGGGAACACCTGCTGCAGCGAGCGCGTCGTTGACCAGGCGGGCGTACGAGGCGTGGAGTGACCAGGTCGTCCACTCGGAGACCTTAATGACGGCGGCATTACCGGCAAAGAGCGCGGTGGCGAGCGGCGAGAGGATGTGGTGGAACGGGTAGTTGTAGGGGCAGATGATGCCGATGACGCCCAGCGGGCGGTACTCGACATGAGCACCCTTGTGCATCATAAAACCCGGCGAGCGGGTCTCGGAGGCAAGTGCAGCCTCGCCGTTGGCAATGGTCCAACGAAGCTTCTCAGCGACGGTGAGGATCTCGCCAAACGCAGCCTCCATCATGGTCTTGCCCGAGTCAAGGGCCGAGTACCGGCAGATCTCCTCCTGGTTGGCCACAGTCATGTCGAGGAGGGCCTGCAGCGCACGCTTGCGGGCAGCAAACGACGATCGACCCCACGAGGCCTGAGCGGCAACGGCAGTCTCGATGGCAGCGTTGATCTCGTCGGCCGACATGGCCGGGACGGCGCCGAGCACCTCGCCGGTGCCCTTGTCGACACACTCGATGAGGCGGGCGGGCGGGAGCGAGACCGAGCGGGCACGCGAGGCCTCCCGCGAGACCGACGGGCGCGATTCGGGAGAACCACCGGACGCAGCTGAGTGTAGTGCGTGTAGCTGTCTCCGAGATCCCAGAGCCACCAAAAGCCAGCCCATGCCAAGCGGGCAACGAGGTAGAGGGCAGCCAGCTCGAGGGCAAGAGCCGGCAGCGGCGACGCAGCGACAGCAGCGACTGTGCTGGCAGCCTTACCGGCATAGCCCACGAGGGTAGCAGTAAGGTAGTACATGACGGGGGCAAGGGGTGTAGTCGTGGGTGGTGAAGTGGTGTGTGTGTGTGTGTGGGGGGGGTGTGGGGTGGGGTGGGGTGGGGAAGGCGGAACCCCTGTGGATGTCTGCTTTTGGGGGTTTGGGTTTTGCGGGAGGAGGCGGTGTGTGGGGGGGAGGGGTGTGTGTGTGGGGGAGGGGTGTGGGGGGTGTGGGGATGGGGATTACCGATTATTGATTGTTGTTTACCTGCTACCCTGCTACTGTTGATTGTTGTTGTTGCTGCTGTTGTTGTTGCTGTTGTTGTTGCTGCTGTTGTTGTTGCTGTTGTTGTTGTTGTGGCTCTGCGATGATGGTGATGGGATATGTTGGAGAGTGGCTGCAGGTGCTTTGGCTGGCGATGTGCTCGTTGGTTGACTGGTGTGCATGCATGTCGTGGTGTGTGTGGAGGTGGTGGGGGTGGTGGGGTGTGGGCGAGGAGGATCACGCCACTCGCTAGGTTCAGGCACACGGCAGGATGCGGGCGACGAGGGTGGGCGTGGCGGCGGTGGTGCTGGGCGCGCTGGTGGTGTATGCCATGCTTGCAGCCCACAGCAGCAGGTCCGGTGGCGGGCCTGGCGGCGGGGCATGGCGGGCGCGGGTGCGGACAGCCGACTCGGATGGGGATCGATCCGAGGCGCGGGTGCCGGCGGATGTGTCTAGGGTGCACTACGGCGCGGTGTCGCTGGTGTGGAATCTTGCCAAGGTCTCGGATGGGGCTGTAGTCACTGCTGATGTTGCTGGAAATCTCGGCGCGCCACAGGTCGTCGCCTCGCCGCAGACCGCCGACTGGTTGGCGGATCGATGGCAGGCGGCGCGGGACATGTCGGGCACGCCCATCGCGGGGCCACACTGGCTGGAAATGGCGTTGGCCGAGGCGGCTCTCCCGACCAAGATTGTGCTCGACTGGGAGACTGCCCGCGCCGACGACTACGTGGTCAAGGCACGCAACGCCGAGTCGGGTGAGTGGGGCGTGGTGCTGGAGAGCTCGCCAGGGAGAAAGACGAGCCGTGGATGGGCAAGAGCCCGCGATGCCGAGCAGGGAGCGGGCGAGAAGCACATCATGCATGTGTGGGAGGACCAGCAGCCAAAGGCGTCCAAACAGAGCAACCTGTGCGACGCGCTGCGGCTGGAGATCGCGGCGCCTGCCACTCAGTGGGGTGTCTCGCTGTGGCAGTTTGCGGTGTGGGGCCTTCGCCTCGAAGTTTAGAGCGCTACTCTACATCCAGGCCCGCTCGGTCGTGTCGGCGTCGGATGCGTCGTTGAGGAGGAGGTCAAACGCATCCGAGGTAAAGTACTGTCCACGGGTGAGCGAGGTGGCACGGACGTCGGTCAGCTCGCGCCCGACGATCATGGGCACGTTGGTCTCGTAGATCGAGCCGGTCGACCGCAGGTTCTTCCTCTGAAGGACAGGCGCATCTGCAGCTGGCGGCTCGCCTGCAAGCACCGAGTCGAGGTCGGCGAGGACAACAAGGTCGCCGATCGACTCGGCTGGAAGCTTGAGCGACGTCGCCGCCGTCTCGCGGTCCATCACCGCATGGGTGCCTGGCGCCTCGCGCAGGACCCGCATGGCATCAATAAGAGCACCCCGATCGCGAGCAAGCCCAGGTCGGAGGTAGATGTGGGCCATGCCGCCGAGCCCGGCATGCAGCTCGGTATGAGGGTCGCAGATCGGGAGGAGAATGCCGAGCGGCTCAAGGTGCGCCACCAGCGGGGCCAGATACGTCACACGTGGCGTCTCGTCGTACGAGATCTTCCAGTTGACACTGTGGCCGGAGGTGACCACTAGCTGGCAGTCGAGTTCTCGCAGCTCGCCGATTCGTGCGTCGACGCCCGCAAGGTACTCGAGCGCCGCAGCATCATCGGGGGCAGCCATGTGCGGGATCGCACTGGATGCGCAGGCCAGAAAGACGCCGACGCCGCGCTTGACTGCCGCTACGGCTTCATCCAGCGCTGCAATCGATGTGTCGCCGCTCCCGCCTGCAGTCATCGCCACCGCAGCATCGGGCAGGCTGCCGCGCAGGACGTTGGCATGGTCCGGCTTGGCGGCAATGAGCGCCACATCGACGCCTGCCCCGGCGAGAGCCTCCAGCACCGACGGCGGCCCGCCATCGGGCGGAGTGCGCATCTGCGCGACAGCCTGTGGCGTCCACTCGGCCGCAGGAAGCGGCAGCGCCGGCGGGAGGAGCGAGCCGATGAGACCGTGGCCGGTGGCGTCTGCGCCCGAGGCGATGGCGGCGGCGGCCGGGAGAGAAAACGCCGGAATCGGGGCAGCCACCATGCCCTGAAAGTGCTCAGCAGCAAGCGCATCAAGGTGTGGAGTGAGCGCCTCGCGCGAGGCAGCGTCCAGATACTCTTTGCCGATGCCCTCCAGGTTAATGACACCGGCCGGCGCGGCGTCGTCAGCCGGCACCGCGTACACCCGCCCATGAACGGCCTCGGTGACCATCCCGCGCCACAGCCGTGCACCCGCGCAAGCAGTAGTGAGCTTCCGCAATGCAATCATACTGGCGATGTATGTATGTATGTATATATGTGAGTGTGTGCGAGGAGGAGGGAGGTGTGTGTGTATGTGTATGGGGGGAGGCGGCTGGCGTGATCGTGGCATTGATCGCAGCCGTGGTCGTGATCGCGATCGTGACAGCGGTGGTCAAGATCGGATCGAGGACTTGTTGCTCTCTTGCTCGTCGTCGACGGCTGTACAACTCGCGCGGAGCACGGCAAGTTGACAGCAGTGAGCGTAACGAGGTGCTCTGACTGACTAGTGCTGCGACTGACCAGCTGATGATGGTGACCAAGTCCGCGACGATTGTCACGGATGGACGTCGATACGTACACTGCTGGGCAAGACAGCGCCACTCCTCTCGCAGTAGTGAGAGAGGGGACGAAAGAGGAGCGTGTCTGAAGTACGGTTCGAGTGGGGGCCTGGTGGCGGGTTGCGGGGCGACCATGGCGGTGTTTGTGGTGCAAGTGGTGGTGGCCTCGAGACGAAGCCGGAAAAGGTCGTGGTTGGCACTCGCCGCAAGCGGGGGCGGGGACCGGCACGGGATGTGGACACGACGAGGAGCAAGAACGGAAGCGAGGCTACGTCAGCACTGTGCAGACGGGTCTCGTGCACCGGGCAGCATCCGCACCTGATCTTTGCGGCTGCTGCGTTGCCGCCGGGCCTGGCCCGGACCGAGGTCTGCCTCACCTCGCAAACGCCCTTGATGGTCGGCCGGGCCGTGGCGGCCCACGTCCGATTGGACTCTGGGACGTCCGGGTATGTCTCGCGCAAGCACGCGAGCGTTGGCCCGCTGGGCGCTGACGAGTGGGCGGTGACCGATGTCGGCTCAACCAATGGGGTCTTTATCAACCGCCGCCGCATCGCTGCTCACGAGCCCGCTCTCCTTGCTGATGGCGACCTCGTCACGTTTGGCGTCGCGTCGGGCAGGCAAGTGCCGATCGGCGAGCTCGCGAGCTCGGATGGCCTGTTTGTGTACCAATACCGTGCGGCCCATGCCGAGCCGCCGTCCAAGCGGCGGAAGCCGCTCGTGTCGCGCTCGCCGTCGCCCGCGCTGGATGCGCTTGAGTCACGAGTCATCGAGCTCGAAATCGAGCTGGAGAGTCACAAGCTGCGCCTTGCCGGCATGACCAGCGAGTTGGAGGCTGCGTCAGCCCAGTGCAAGCAGCTGCGAGAGGCTGCAGAAGGCGACGTCAAAACGATTGCCGAGCTCGAGGGCCGTGCGACGGCGGCAGAGGCCGCAACCGCCAAGGCTGAAGCGGCGGCAGCGGCGGCCAAGGCGGTGGCCGGGTCTGCGGTCGCGCTCACGCTTGAGGAGCTGGAGGAAGAGTTCTCGTGCTCGATCTGCCTGGAGTTTATGGTGCAAGCGACGGCGGCGGCGCCGTGCGCACACATCTTTTGCGCCGATTGCCTCGAGGAGTGGTGCGCGCTGGAGGAGGAGGGGAGGCAGTCGTGCCCGCAGTGCCGGCAGCCGGTCTTGATGCGGCTTCACATGCGGTTGCTCGACAACACGTTGGCGCACATGCTGGCCAAGGTCGGCGGCTCGGCGCTGCAGGGATACAATGCCCGTGTCAGTGCCTTTACCCGCAACGTCCAGCACTATCGCACGCTGCTGAGCGCAGCCGAGCAGGCGCGGACGTCGAGGCAGACGTTCCTCAACATCAAGATGCGGTGGACGGCCAAAGAGCAGAACACCTTTCAGCGCGGCCTCCGCAAGTACCGCGGCAAGGCGCGCCAGCTATTTTGCGAGCTTGCGGGGCTCACGCCGGCGTTTGTCGCGTCGGCCTCCAAGCCGGTCCTCCTCGTTGCCGCCAGCAACCTTCGCATCAAGGACGTGACCGACGCCTCGACCATCGACGCCTGTCGCACCGCCATTATCAACATGCTTAAGGGTCTCCGCTGACCGTCCGCCGGTACATGGCGTCGGCGCGGAGCACGTACTTGGGAGCTTGGCCTTGGACCCTCGAGCCGGCGTGGATGAGCTTGTGGTGAAAGGCCACCATGCGGCCAGGCGTCGGCTCTACCCTCGCAACCTCGCGCAGCGCGGCGCCGTTAAACATCCCGGCATTGTGGGTGGGGTGGGCGCCGCCGCTGGCGCTGGCGAGAGAGAAGAACACCGTCTCGCCGCCGGCGTCGACGCGGGAGAGAAAGATGAGGACGGTGGCGTAGAGCTGGAGCTCGGTCCCGTCGTCAGCGCGCATGGTGAGGGCGCCGTCGACGTGAGGATGAAAGGCACCGCCGGTGCGGTAGCGGTAGAACCGCAGCCGTGGGGCAAGCGAGTCGATGACCAGCTCGGTCTTGCGTGGCCCAGCCACCGTCGCCGGCAGTGTGCCGCTGATCCGAGCGTACAACGCCTTGGCGAGCTCGTGATCGTCAAAGACCACGCGCTCGTTGTCCCGGATCTCGGGCCGCAACTCTGCCTTTTCCGGCTCGGCCGCATCGCGGCTCGCACGAACGTCGACGCCTGCAGTCTCAAACCCCATGGCCTCGGCGGCGGCCACCAGCGCCTCTGCTTCGCCGAGCGAGACTATGTTGTCTGCTACGACTGCGCGCCCGCGCATGAGCTGCGCCTCCGCGGTCGTTCCAGCCCAGGATGCAGCGGTGCCAGGTGGCGATTGTGGTGTCAGGATATGGGCGAGCGAGCTGGCTGGTCCTGCGCTCATGGCGACGACATGAGGAAGGCGAGCCGCAACCGTGGCAGCGGCTGCCCGGACGCAGGCGAGCATACGACAGAGTCAGGTGGCGCGACATAGCCGATCAAAGAGCTACAGGCGGTGTCGATCTCGGCTTCAAAAGTCGTGTTCTTGGCCGCTCCCATATCGTGAGCGGCATGAGGACAGTTCTGCACGTATTGCTGGGGCCGGCGCTGTGCGTCTCGAGGCGACTTTCCGGCGATGCTCTGGGCCGAGACGGAGCGGCGGAGCGGATGCAGCGAGAGGAGACATACTCGTCTACAGTCCGATCATGTGTACGCAGCAGCAACAAGACGAGCAGTTCCGTCTTTCACTTGCCCCCCTCCTTCTCCTCCCCCTTCTACCCCTCCTCCATCCACTCACCAGTATCTCCCCTTCCCCTTGCAGCTGATCCTGATCCCGTGGTGGCGTCCAACGAGGCCGGCAGCGAGGCGACCGGCGGTGCGGCCGAGAGCAAGGGCAAGCGCAAGGCGGCGTTCCAGGTCACCCGCGAGCGCGGTTTCCGCGACGACGACGATGAGGACAAGCCGGTGGTATGTGCTAGGGGCGCGGGAGAGTGTGTGCGTGCGCATTGGAGTCGTCATGGTCCGCAGTGGGGCCCTTGCACTGGGCGGGCGGGCGGATGGCGGCGCAGAGTGGCGGTGGCGGGCGGGGAGGCGGTGTTGGAGGAGGGGCGATGGACGCGACTCATGTGCGGAGAGGATGTATGGATGAATGTGCTTGTGGGCGGAGTGTAGGAGTACGGGATTCAGAAGGCGTCAGCGGAGGAGCTGGCGAAGCGCAAGATCGTGCGTGTCAAGTACAAGCGGCCGGCTGGGGCGGCCAGTGTGCCGGCGCCGTCGAGCAACCCGTTTGCGGGCGTGGCGCTGAAGAAGCCGACGGTATCGGCCGGGGCTGCCAATCCGTTTGCGGCGGTGAACCTCAAGAAGAAGAGTGGCGAGGAAGGAGCGGCGAGCTCGAAGAAGCGCGGGCGCGAGGACAAGGATGAGGGCAAGGCCGGGCCGAGCGGCAGCGGCGAGGCCAGCGAGAGCGCCAAGAAGAGCAAGCCGCTGGCGGATCCGCTGAAGAAGCCGTCGTTCTCGTTTGCTCGCAAGGACTCGAGCTCGAGCGGGAGCAAGGTGAACAGCTCGTCGACGGCGGCCGGGGCGAGCGAAGGAGCCAAGGGAAGGAGGAGCCTTCGGCGTCGGAGGAGGTTGTCGACGAGCACACCAAGGACGCGCCCAGCAAGTACAACTTTTCGTTTAACAAGGCCCAGCCCAAGTTCAACTTTTCAAAGTCGTTTGACGCCAAGGCTGTGCTGTTTGGTGGGAGCGCCAAGGCTGCGCCGTCTGTGAACGAGCATCTCAAGTCTGTCTTTGCCAACGCTGGCTCGGTGTTTGGCAAAAAGATCGCGCCTCCGGTGGCCAAGGACGCGGCTGTCCCGCTGCTGCTCAAGAAGACGCAGGCCAAGGTCGACATGAGCGGCGAGGCGCTCTCGACGGGCGAGGAGAACGAGACGTCGGCGTTTGAGGTCAAGTCTAAGGCTTTTGCCTTTGACAAGGAGGCAAAGGAGTGGAAGACCCGCGGGGTGGGCAACCTCTCGCTCAACGTCAACAAGACCGACCAAAAGGCGCGCTTCCTGCTGCGGACGCTTGGCACGCACCAGGTGCTCATCAACGTGCCCATCTTCAAGGGCATGGTGGTTACCAAGCTCGGCGAGAAGGAGGTCCGCGTGGTGACGGTCGATCCCGAGTCGGAGCCGGCCAACGAGCCGTTGCCGCTGACCTTCCGCGTCGGCCACAAGACGTCTGCTGACGAGCTGCTGGCCAAGATCCAGGAGATTGCCGACTCGATGCCGTCCAAGACCGAGTAAACCAGCGCGTAACTGTCGCCATCTCGGCCCCGGCCCCAGCCCCAGCCCCAGCCCCAGCCGTGGCCGTGGGATCTAGCTGCTACTGCGGGCACGCTTCGGCTTTGCCACCACCATCCACGTCGTACCAAAGTGGAAGCGACGAAGCGAGACAATCTCGAGGTCGGCAGCATCAAGCAGGGCGCCGATGTCGCGGTTCCACCAGCAGCCCCACTTGGATGCATGATCGAGGGCCCGTGAGTCGAGGAACTCGTTGAGCCAGTTGTAGTGCCCGCGGCCATGCTCGAGGAGGAGCAGTTGCGCGTCGTCGGTCTCGGCAAGCAGACTGCGCATGATGCGGAGCGCCGCCACGGGGTCCTCGTACGAGCAGAGGCCGAACGAGTCGACAATGGTGTCAAACTTGGCCGGGAGCGTTAGCTCGGGCGAGAGCTCGACGAGAGGGCGGAGGACGCCGGTCGACGTGGGCTCTGGCGGAGCGGCCGGCGCCGACGCCAGCGCCCCGGCAAGATCCTCGATGGAGACGGACCAGTAGAGCGGGGCGAGGGACGCGAAGTCTGCGGCCTTGGCGCGGGCAACGTTGAGCATCGGCTCGGAGCAGTCGATGAGGAGGACCGTGTCAACGGCCGAGGCGCGCAGATACGGCAGGTTGCGGCCGGTGCCGGCGGCAACCTCGAGGACGGCGCCGTGGGCTTGGCGGACGAGCAGGCGGCGGAGGAGGCCAAGGCCCATAAAGAACTCCTCAAAGGCCACAAAGCCGTCGTAGCCGTCGGCCTCGGCATCGTACGCCGCACGCCGCTTGGCCTCGGGTACCAGTGCCGCCACCTCATCGTCGCTCACATCCAGCACCAGCCGGCCACCCCCGCGCCGACGCTGTCGCGTCTCGTCGGCGAGCCCGTCGACTGCGACGACGACGGCCAGGCAAAGACGACGGCGGCAGTGAGGACGCCTGCGCCGAGAGCGGCCACGTTTCGGGGGCGGAACATCGAGGGCGTTTGCGTGTGCGGCTGTGAGACAAGTACGTGTTTGCTTGGTATTAGCTCTCGTCTGCGTCTGCGTCACAGCGTGGGGCGGCGATGGCACCAAGTCAGACTGGGTCTAAAGGAGATCATTGCGCTAGGTGCAAGATTGCGGGGAGAGACGAGTAGAGCTATTGCTCAGGGGTATAGCCTGGGCCGCTGGAGGAGGGTCGGACGGGGTGGCAGAGTATGAGGCTCCCGCGTCGGCCGGGGTCACCGAGCCGGCAGCAGGTTGCGGCCGCTGCGGCTTGGAGAACATGAGCGGATGATGCGGCGGCGGCTGGAAGGCCGGGGCGGGGATGTAGTGCGGATAGAAATGGGCAGGTTGCGGGCCATGCGGTTGGGCGTAGCCGTGCGGTTGGGCGTAGCCGTGCGGCTGGGCGTAGCCGTGCGACGCGGCAGCGGGCTGAACGGCACGGCGTGCGGCATTCTCGGCGAGCAGAGCCTGGTAGTTGTTCTGCGAGTTGCGGCAGCAATAGTACCAACAGCAAGCAGATGCGCAGATGATGACGGCAATGATAAGGCCGATGATGACGAGGATGACCCAGGTGTCGAGGTTGCAATCGCGCGTGTTGTTGCAGTCAAAGGCGCAAATGTCGGTGCTCAAGACGGTGATGACATTGTTGCAATGCGTAGGTCCGGAGCATCCGCACGATTGTGGCGAACCACTTTGGATTTCGATGCAGCACTGCTCGCCTGCTGCGCTGCCGAGGATGGCGAGGAGAGCCACGAGAACAACCCACGTGACCATGACTTGCGATGCGGGGCGGGCAAGGGAAAGGAGGGAGGGAGGGAGAGCGTGTTGCTGTGCCTGTGCCTGTGTCTATGTCTGTGTCTGTGTCTGTGTCTGTGCTTGCGGGGCAACCCTCGTGCTTTCCGGTGCTTTCCGGAGTGAAGAGTGTGCCTCTTGTGTATGTGTACGTCGTGAGTGTGTGAGTGCTTGTGCGGGGCAGCCTTGATTGGTGTCGTGCGCAAAACAGAAACGGCGGGATGTCGAGCCTCGCACGCATGGTCCGAATCGAAGCCTTGTGGTCGGCCTCAACGTGAGCAAAGGCCTTCCGAACGGCTAAGATCTTCTTACGCTTGCGCGCGCGCTTGGAACACGTCGATGTTATCCTTGAGCTAGCGGCGGTGTGTTGAACGATGATGATGATGTGCAGACTTCGAATCGAACGAATGTTCAGCTGTGTCACTTTTCGCTTGCCTCGTTTCGGCCGTTGGACGGAGGGAGAGCGAAATTGTGGACGAGGCCCCGTCAGGGACGACCAATAGCAAAGACACACGCCTCGCCTTGTCCGTCGGCCGCACCATGGCCACCACAGACAACGATGGCGGCTCAGGTACGGGTGTGCACCAGAGGGGAGGGGGGAGGTGTGTGTGGGGGGAGGTGGGTGCGGCAAGGGTGCCAGTGTCGGTAGGGGTAGTGGCGAGGAGGAGGGGGAGTGCCGTTGGGCGCCTCTGCCGCCAGGCGGAAGGAGGCGCGGGAGGCTGTGGCGGGCGACTCACAGAGAGGACGGTGTGCGGAATGGGACCATGGATGTGCGCGGGATACGTAGTGTCAAAGGAGCTGGAGCGACTGCAGCGCGAGTATCGGTACATGGAGGTGGACCGCAAGTCGTATGGCGACCTCTCGCAGAATGTGATCCGGAAGCAGCGGCAGACGATTGAGCGGTGGAAGAAGGAGAACGAGCACCTGCGGTCGGAGCTGGCGGCGATCGAGTCGCAGCAAGAGGCCGAAGAGACGGACGCAGTCATGTCGGAGAAGCTGGACGAGCTCAACTCGCGGTGCGAGTTTTACGCAGGCAAGATCGAGGCCGAGGAGGAGCGGATGGAGACGCTGCGCTCACAGATCAAGCTTCTGGAGCGCAAGATCAAGGAGCAGCGCGAGGTCATGGGTGGAGTCAACGCAGCCATCTCCAACTCTCAGACGGTGGCCAAGCAGATTCGGGTGTTGGAGAACAGGCTTGACAAGGCGCTGGTCAAGTTCAACTCTGCGCTCTCGCACAACAAGAAGCTCCGCGAGGAAATCGACAACCTTCGCCGCGAGCGCGTCGTCTTTGACGGCATCTATCGCAAGCTCGAGAAGCAACTGGTGGAGAAGAAGAAGCGCATGGCTGACATCATCGAGGTCTCCAACTCGGCGTACGACGCCCGCGACATGGCGCAAGACAAGATGAACCGCCTCAAGGAGTCGCACATGCGTGCCATGGCCCAGCTCGATGCCGAGATGATGAACATGAACCGCGTGCTCAAGTCGGAGCGCCGCGCCAAGAACTTTATCGCCATCAAGGAGCAGGAGCGCGCCAACACCGCGGCCGGCCGCCGGACACGCTCGCGCAAGAACGGCGGCGGCGGCGGGCGCGGCGGCGGCGGCGACGCCGCTGCAGGCGTCGCCGCCTCGGCAGCAGCCGCGCCCTGGGCCCAGCCCAAGCTCAAGTCGTCGACCGAGTCCAACGCAGAGATCATCCAGACGTACGAGGAGGCGTTTGACAAGATCCAGGCCGCCACCCTCATCTCAGACATCGATGAGCTCGTCTCGACCTTTATCGAAGTCGAGGACCAAAACTTCTCGCTCTTCAACTTTGTCAACGACCTGCAGAACGAGACCGAGAAGCTCGAGGAGCAGATTGCCGACCTCCGCGCAAAGATCTCCGAGACCAAGACCGAGGGCGAGACGTCGGACGCGCAGCGGCGGCACCTGCTCAAGTCGCTCTCGCACAAGCTGGCCAAGACCGAGGCCCGCGCCGACCAGTACGAGTCCAAGTACAAGACCGCCCGCAAGGTCATGAACAATCTCAAATCGGCCGTCCACTCTATCTTCAACAAGATCGGCTGCTCGTCCGAGGAGATCAACGACGTGCTCGGCGACGCAGGCACCACCGACTCGAACATCATGCAGTATCTCGCCCTCATCGAGCGCCGCGCCGCAGAGATCATCCACGAGGTCGCCGCCCGCAAGCTCGCCGAGGAGGATGCAGACGATGACTACCACCGCTCCAAGCGTGGCGGCCTCGTCGCCATCCTCTCGCAGCAGCGTGTCCCGCCTGGTGGTGACCGCATCGTCATCGCCGCCCCGTCGTCCATGGGCGATGTTGACGAGTTTGACGAGGAGTCGGACGAGGAGTCGCAGCGACCCTTTACCCGCGACGAGCTCAAGGCTCTCTCGCGCAAGGGCGCTACCAAGAAGAAGAACGAGCGGTCGCGCCGTCGGGGCGGCACCTCTCGCCGCCGTCGCCAGCATCGTTGAGCTTGTCGACATGATGGTAAACAGAGCACAGGGGCTTGGCAAGAGATCCCGCGGTTCGCCGCCTGTCCGTCCCCCCCCCCCCCCCCTCACCTCACCTCACCTCACCTCACATCCACCAGCATGGCCACTCCGTTCAAACTCGGCAGTGCGGGCGAGCTCAAGGCCCAGGGCAACCGGCTTGTCGGCCGCGGCAAGTATGAGGCTGCCGCCGCGGTGTACGCCCGGGCTCTGGCGGCGGTGTCAGCCGGCGACCCGGAGAAGCTCGCCACGCCGCTGCTGCTCAATCTCGCGCTCTGCCACACAAAGACCGGCGCGTTCGGCGCTGCGTTACAGGCTGCCACGCGTGCCGTCGACGATTGCGGTCAGGCTGATGTCCTTCTTCCAAAGGCTTTATATCGTCGCGCTGCCGCCCTGGTAGGCCTTGCCGAGGCCGCCCAGCCCGGCAGCGGACGGGCGTCAGCTGTCGCCCGCGCCACCGCCGACATTGCTGCGGCGCGGGAAATAGCCCCGGCCAAGGACGTCAAGGCGCTGGCAGCTCTGGCCGCCCGCGCTGCCGCACTCGAGCCAGCCTTTGCTGATGGGGCTGCGGCTGACGCGGCCGCATCCGACGACGGACCGCCGCCGCTCGAGGTCGCCGCCACCGGCACTGCTGCTGATTCTGATGCTGCTGCTGCCGGTGCTGCTACCGCATCTGACGACGGCCCGCCGCCGCTGGAAGAGTCGATTGTGGCGCGCCACGCAGTGGCGCGGCGGCGGGCTGCTGGCGGGTCTGCAGCGGCCAAGCCGTCGCCTGCGGCTGCCAAGCCGGCCGTCGCCGCGAGCGCGGACGACCTCGACTCGGACGATGACTCGGACTCGGGCGAGTTCGAGTCTTACATGGCAGCGACGCGGAATCAGCCAGGTGCGGGGCTCAAGCGGGGGTTTCTTGAAGAGAGCAAGAGCGAGGCAGATCGTGACAAGGACTCTCAGCTCAAGTCGGGCCAGCCAGCAGACATGCTGCGAATGAGCGACGACGGAGCGTCGGCTCGTCTCGTCATGCCCGAAGTCCAGGCCGCCATGCAGGACAAGTCTGGCATGGCATCAGTTCTTGGCTCGGATGCATGGGTCACGCCGCAGCTCATGGAGCGGGTGGCGAGCGATCCGATTCTGGCCAAGGGCCTGACTAACCCCGCGTTTATGGAGGCGCTGTCCGAGTTTCAGACCTCGCCACAGGCCGCCATGGCCAAGTACGCTCACGATCCGGCTGTCCAGACCTTTCTCCGCAAGTTTGCTGGCCTCCTCGGCGAGCACTTTGAGGCGCTCGGCAAGGCCGAGGCCGACGCGGCTGCGGCTGCGGCTGCTTCCGGCAGTGGGCAGGAGCCGCTCATCCAAACCGTCGAGGAGCGCGAGGCTGACGAGGCTGCCCGCGCTGCAGTTCAGGATCCAGCGGTTCGCGAGGCGATGATGGACCCCAAGGTCCAGGTCGTCATCGCAGCTCTCCAGCGCGGCGACCAGGCCGCTGTCCAGGCCGCTCTGAGAGACCGCGACGTTACGGACCGCATCCAGGTCCTCGTCCGCGCTGGCGTTCTTGGTGTTGCTGGATGACTTTTCATTTGAAGGCGGCCTTACCGATATGGGTCAGTTCCGCCGGGCCCGCTCGGCCATGAGCCGACGAGTGCTCTCGAGCTCGCGCTGCAGTGCAAGGACCTGCGCCTCCTTGGACTCGACGGATGCTGAAATGGCGCGGAGTTGACGGGCCTCGGGCGAGGCGAGCGGCGAGGCGCGAGGAGGCGAGGCTCGACGAGGCGAGGCGCGAGGAGGCGAGCCCGCCACACTTGCCGCCGAGTCGTTCATGAGCTCGGCCAGCTGCGAGCGGAGCTGGTGCGCCAGCTGGGTCACCGAGCTCTCCTTGGCAACGAGGTCGTCGCGTGAGGTGTTGCCGTCGAGCATGCGCGCCGACTCTTCGTCGCGGCGCTCGCGCTCGAGCCTCGACTTCATCTGCAGATCCATGAGCTTGACCTGGTCGAGGAGGCGCCGCATCTCGCCCTGGACCCCCTCGTACGAGTTCTGCAGCGCGTTGAGATCGTCCTTGAGCATGGCGTTCTCGCGCTCCAGAAAGTCGATTTGCAGCCGGAGCGAGTCGCCCTCCTGCTTGGCGCGCGAAGCTTGGGCGCCGGTGGCGGCAACCTTGTCGTTGGCCTCGGCGAGCGAAGCAGCCATCGACTGGCGCTCGGTGGTGAGTGCGTTGATCTCGGCCATGGCCGCCGTCAGCTGCGAGTGCATCGAGTCGGACGTCGAGTCCTTGAACGCCGTCGCCTGCTCCATGCCGGCAATGACCTGCTGCGCCTTGGCGTTGACCTCCTTGAGGGCGCGGACGTCGGCTTCGCGGGCCTCGACGGTGGCGTGCATGGCCTCGACATGGTCGAGCGCGTCGCGCAGCTCGTTCTTGCGCAGCTCGATCTCGTTCCGCAGCGACGACTCGAGCTGCTGCGCCTGCTGAAGCGCGTCGCGAAGCGCGTCGTTGTCACGCTCTTGCACAAGCAGCGTCTCCTTGACTAGCATAAACTCTTGGTTGATTGCCCGCTCAGTGTTGAGGCGATCCGCAACCTCGGCATCCTTGGCATGGATGATGGCCCGCAGCTCCTCCATCTGTGCGTCGCGATCGCGAATGACCTCAGCCGACTGCAGGATCTCGGCTTTGAACTCGTCGTTGGCGGCGCGGGCCTCAGCGAGGCTTGCCTCCAGCTCGGCCGCTGATGCCTTGAACTGCTCGACAACCTTGGCGTGCGCCGCATCCTTGGCCCGGATAACGTCGTCCTTGGATGCCAGCGCAGCAGTCTCGCGCTCGTGCGCCGCCCGCACCTCGGCCTCGAGTCCCTGAACCTGGCTTTCGACCACCGTCAGCTCCTCTTCGTAGCGGGCGAGCGTTTGCTCGTGGGCGGTCTTGGCAGCCACCGCGTCGGCGAGTTCGGCCTCTAGCTCGGATGCGCGTTGGACTGCCTGCGACAGCTCGCCGGCATACTCGGACTCGAGCTGGACCATCTTGGCCAGGTCGGCGCTTTGGCACGAACAGCAGCCTGCGCCGATGCAAGCTCGCCGCGGAGCTCGAAAATGGCCTCGTCCTTGGTCTTGCCCGTTGAGCTGTCTTCCATCTGTGCGGTGAGAACCTGCTCGCGGAGCGCCTCGACTTGCATGCTCATCGAGTGCATGTCGGCTTCGGTCGACGCCAGCGAGTTGCGGATCCGGGTCCGCTCGCGTACGGCCTCGGCGTGAGCCAGCGACTTTTCACGGAGCTCGTCGAGGAGTGACGCCTTCTCGTTCTCGGCATGGACAAGAAGAACCTTGGACTCTTCCAGCTGCTCGCGGAGCGAGGCCATGGTCGCCCGCGTCGATGCCGACGCCGAGTGCGCCTCGCTCATCGAGTTCTGAGTCTTGGCCAGCGCAGACTTGAGCAGCTCGTTGGCCTCAGAGAGGCCGGCCGACTCGGCCTCCGCGGCCGCGGCGGCCTCACGGAGCTTGGCATTCTCGGAGCGGAGCTTGGAGAGCTCAGCCTCCTTCTCGACCAGGATGTTGTCCGAGAGTTGGACAGTGGCTTCGGACAGCTGCTTGTTCTGATCCATGATCCGCTGCGTCTCGGCCTCCCACCGGCCAAGCGCAGTCTGTAGGGTGCGAACCTCGTCTTCCAGCGCCTCGCGATCGTGGCGGGCCGTCTCGAGGCTCTTGGTCATGGCCGCGAGCTCGGCCTTGGCTGCGCGATTCCGCGACTCGCCCGAGGCCATGTGGGACGACATGGCTGCCTGTGCAGACGTCAGCTCCTTCCGGGTCTCCTTGAGCGCGTTGTTCTTGAGCTCGAGCTCGTTGCGGAGCTTCTGAATCTCCAGATTCTGGTCAAAGACAAGGAGCTCGAGTTTGCGCGTCTCCGACTCGAGTTTGAGATGCTGCGCCTGCAAGCTGCGGGTGTACTCAGTGTTTTCGCGGATGTACGTTGCAGCCGCCGGTGCCACCGTGGTGCTTGGTACTGTCCGCACCGGAGCTGCACTGGCCGCCATCCGCATCGGCGCCGCCACAGGAGCGGGGCTTGGCCGCGCCGACACCGACCGCGACAGCTGATCCATCTTGGACTGAAGCGCCGCAATCTGCTGCGAGTGCACCGACTCGGACGCCGAGAGCTCTGCCCGCAGCGCCTCAACCTGCCCACTCGTTGAGCTCGCCAGCTGTGGACCTGACCCGATCGAGCTCATCCGCAGCGAGCGCGAGAGCGGCACCGGCGAGCCAGGCATGCTCCCTGCTGGCGTCTTGTACGGTGACGACGCCAGCTTGCGGCGGAGCGACTACACAAGAGCCACCAAAGTGGATGAGTACATATCGCATTCCCAGCTTTCCCCCATTCCGGTACGGTGGTGACAAACAGAGCGCTTCTCCAGTCGCCTGTGGTGGCTATGGCCGTGGTTGGTGACCAACGGCTGGGATGGGCGCCAAAGAGGCAGCTGGCGTGTGTGTGTGCGAGGGGGGGATGCCAAACAGCAGACGTACCTGGATGTCGGAAAGTAGCTGGTGGACATCAACATCTTCACTGGACATGCTAGCCTATGTCCACACCAGTGGCGTCTGTGGATGTCTCCGAAAGGAACAGGGAAGGGGTGGGGGGGGGGGAGGAGTGACCGTGGTGGCTGTGGCCAACGACTCGCCGCCTGCGCGCGCCAAACCGTCACACACCTTTGCTTGGGGGAAGCGGCCTCTGCTTGCCGGGATAAGGCCGAGGACACTGCCATCGTGTCATGATCATCAGCCTTTTAGAAACTATAATGCGCTGAGCATTTAGTGTAGCGTGTTAGAAGTGTGCGGCACACATGTTCGGATGAGCTCATCAAGTGTTTCGGGTGAGTATGGCGATGATGGGTATGTCGCGGGTGGCAAGTTTGGCCAGAGTTTGGTCGGTCGTTGGCTGGTGCTGGTACAGATCACGACTAGCGATGGCGTTGCGTTCATGCCCATAACAGAGCGGGACTCACCGAGTCTATGGTTCCCATCTTCTTGCTCCACATCATACTCCATCCCTACTCTCGTCCTGGAAGCGGCAAGCTGGTGGACCAGCCAGCATGATCGCCGGTGGCGTCCGTGTCGGGCGGCAGGCATCGGCATTCCTCCCCCAACCGCCACCAACGCACCCTGTTCCCGCTCCCACGCCAACTCCCACTCCCACCACCCCACCCACCACCCCACCCACCAAGCAGGCCTCAGGCTACTTCACCCAAGTGTCTGCACACACCCACAAACAGGGCGCAGACAGAGGCTGGAGGCGAGACGGCGAGACAGGCGAGACAGGCGAGACAGGCTGGGCTACCCCCTCTCCCATGCCGCCGCAGGACCAGCGGCCACGTAGGAGGACACGGCGGGAATGCTGCTGGCGGTCACGGACATACCGGGGCGACGGGAGGAAGCCGTAGGGCACGGAATGTCGGTCAGAACCCAGTAGCTGGGCCTGCGCCCGGTGGGCAAGCCGGATTGCTCGCCTCGGCTGGTGGCGAGCCCAAGGCGGTTGACGGCACGGACGTGCTCGATGATGCTCCAGCCGAGCCGTTGCCGCTGCTGGCTCCAATGTTGCCCGAGCTGCCGGTTGTGGCATCAACGCCGGTGGCGAATGTGCTTGCTTCGGTTTTTGCTGATGTGTACGCCTCAGAGCCGGCCGAGATGGTCACCCGCTGGCATCTGGATGGGGTGAGGGCGTCGGCGGCTATCGCCGGCTCCCCTGCGGCCGTTGCCGACGCCAAGGAAGACTCAGACTTGCTGCCATCGACCAAACCGTCGCCTGCACCGTCGCCGACACCACCGTCTGAGAGCAAGGCTAGCTCGCGGGGCGGGTCGTCCAAGACGGCGCGTCGGCGTCCGTCGCGCGGCACTCGTGGTGCGGCAGCCGATCGGCGCGGCGCCCGGTCGACGACGCCGCCACCGGCGGCTGTCCCTGCCCGCCGGTCGGGCGGTGGCTCTTCCAACAGGCGCAAGGTTGAAGCCGAGGCGGCGGCATCCGCCGCCGCCCGCGCCGCGGAAGACGCCTCTGCACTCGCGCTGCCCATCACCGACAAGTACGCACTGGAGCTCAAGTCGGTGCTCGAGACCAAGGCCGCCAAACTGGCGGCGGTGGCCCAGGCGGCAGCCCACATGGAGGATGCACTGGCCAAGGCCGAAGAGGAGGACGCTGCCGCGGCTCGTGAGCTCGCCGAGCAGTACACCCCGCTTGTCGAGGCCTCGCTGACACCGACCCCGCCGTCGCGATTGGCGTACATGCCGCACATGGTCCAGCCACTGGCTCCGCTGCTTGTTGACGCCGACGCTGCGCTCGAGCCGCGGAAGCCCGCGGTTGTGCCGAAGCGGGTGCCGGCGGCCACCACATACTCTGGGCAGGGTAGCGAGGTGCCACGGGAGGCTGTGGCCAAGACCAAGGTGACCGCCATGGGTCCGCACGAGATCGAGCGCGAGAAAAAGGTCCTGCGCCGCATGCAAGAGCGCACTACCTTCCTCCGTAACCCGCGGTTTGTTGACTGCTCACCGACCCGTCGTACAAGAAGAACTCGACGAACCGATGGCTGGCGCAGAATGCCGACTCGAGGGTCGAAGTCATCCCACCAGCGGTTATCTTTTCCGACTATGCTGCCCACAAGACGTCGGTAGCTACGCTCAAGATCCGCAACGTGACCAACGTCACCGCCTCGCTCCGCATGCTCCCGCCGTCATCTCCGCACTTTACCGTCTCGTCTGGCTCGTGGCCGTCAGCCTCGGGCTCTGTAGCACCGGGCATGATGTGTACGTTTGAGGTGGGATTCCGACCGTCGTCACTTCGTGACTACGACGACGTGCTCACTGTTGTGACCGACAAGGGGGACCAAGTGGTTGTTCCCTCCGCGGCCGCAGGCCGCAGCCGGTCCTTGACCTCCCGCACTGCATTGATGTTGGCCACACGCTTGTTGGCTCGATTTCCACCACGCGGGTTCGCGTCACCAACTCGGGCGGTCCTGCTGCTTTTCGATTCGTCCATCTCGATGACGTGGTCAAGGACGACAGTGGGTTCATCGATCCTGGCCTGTTTGCCAAAGGCGGCGACAGTGTCGACGACCATGCCGTCCCTCCGTTTGTGGTCTCGCCGGTGGTATTTGAGCTCGCAACAGGCGAGTCGTGCGAGCTGGACATTACGTTCTTCCCCAGCGAGCATACGGCGTACTCGGCTGAGCTCCTGCTGGCATGTGACAACTTATGCGTCTACACGTACGAACTGACCGGCTCGGGTGCGCTGCCTGCGCTCGAGCTGGACAAGATCCAGGGCGAAGAGGTGCACGTGAGTGTACCGGCGGCATCGGACGTTGCAGCTGGCGCACCAGCCCCGCTGGGGCTGGCCTACTTTTGCTTTGACGACCAGTGTCCGGGCGCTTCGTCGACAGCCACGCTCACTTTTGCCAATCATGCGCCAGTTCCACTATCGTTTCGATTTGAGCTCTACCGTCGCGAGCGCACGGTGTGCGACATGTCGCACTTGGCAGGCATTCAGCCGCGCGAGGGTGCTGGGGCGAAGAGCGACGGGTTCAGCCACCAGCTAGTGCCGATTGAGCTCGGCGAGGTCTTTGACGTCTCGCCGCGGTCCGGCATGGTGGATGCCTCTGTCGAGGCCTTTGATGTGGTGGCGACGTTTACGCCGTCAGCGGTTGCTAGCTACGATGCGGTCCTCGCGCTCGTTCTTGAGAGCGCCATGCCAGAGGCGCTTCCGGGCTCTTACGGCGATCAGCCGTCCGGCGGCATGCTCGACGTCACGCCGCTCCATCTCAGGCTCTCGGGTACTGCAGTTCCGGTTGTTGTCGAGGTTGCGCCTGCGCTCGTTGACTTTCCCGGCGAGCTTGCACTTGGCTCCAAGTACGTGAAGCAGCTGCAGCTGGTCAACCACTCGCCGTCAGCGGTCGCCTTTAGCGTGCAAGGGCTCGAGCGCGGATTTGTGCGCGTGGGAGAAGATGTCGAGGCTGAGCCGCCCAGTGTGGCCGACGACGATCCGCCAATGTCGTCAGACGACGATGTGTGGCAGGCGGCGGTAAGTAGTGAGCCCCGTAGCAGTGAGGCTCGCCGTGCGCGGCTCAAGGTGACTCCGACTGCGGGCACCATCGCGCCGCACGAGTCGGTAGTTCTCGACGTGGTGGCGCGCTCGCGGACGCCGGGCGACTACCTAGCCTCGCTCGTATGCGAGGTCAAGGGCACAGCGCCGGTCCCTGTCACGGTTCGGGCCACCTTTGCGCCTCTGCAGCTCAAGCTTTCCAAGCCCGCGCTCGACTTTGGCTTTGTGGAGCTCGGTAAGGCCGTCACGACTTCGTTTGCGGTCTACAATCCAGCAGCATGCTCGGCCCGGTTTTCGACCCGCGTCGTCGCCGCCCGGGAGCTGTCACCGAGTGCGGTAGCGTCAGGGCTCACCGGGCTCAACAGCGAGGACTTTGAGTTTGTGCCTGCCATCGGGGCGGTCAATCCAGAGCGGGAGACCACAGTCTCAGTCACCTTTGTCCCGCACACACTCGGCACCTTTTCGGGCGTGGCGGTTGTCGAGGTGAGCGCTGGGCTGTGCGTTCATCTCGCCATTTCGGCCGAGGTGCAGCAACCGATGCTCTTCACCCGAAGTCCAGTGCTCGATCTCGGCGAGGTATTTGTGGGTGTGGCGCAGGGCACGAGCGCAGTGCTGGTTAACCCGACACTGCTCCCTGTGTCGTTCTCGGTCGAGGTTCTTACGCCTGGAGGCGCTTGCGTAAGCGTCGAGCCTGCACAAGGGGAGCTCGCGCCGCAGTCTGAGATTGTGCTTGATGTCAACGCGGTGTTCCAGGTCTTGGGCAGCGTCGACGACGTGCTCATTGCTATCGATGTCGAGGGCATGGACGTGCCTGTCGGCCTGGTGCTGGATGCCAACGTTGTGGGCCCGAGCATTGAGCTGCAGGTGCTGGGCTCAGATGTACCGGACCGGGAGAGCGCACCGCGGGTGACACTTGGACACAACACCGCTGAACTTGCCGAGATTCCAGTTCTCGAGTTTGGGTCGGCCTGTGGTGTGCTCGAGTCGTCTGCGGCGTCGCTGGTGCTGACAAACAAGACAGCGATCGAGTCACCGTTCCATATTTCGCTGGAGAACCTCCAGGTAGTGCCGCGGATCCTGGCTGGACAGCCTGCGTCCGAGGCAGGGAGTGACGCACCGGTGCGAGCGCGAGTTGTCTGTGCCTCACCGGCACCGGGCGATCCGGCACTCTCGCTGGATCTCGAGCGCGTGGCGTCGTCGAGTGCGACCGAGTCGAGCGTGGTATTGGCGCACGGGCGTGGGTCGCGGGCGGGCGCCCGGTACCTGGCAGACGACTACCAAGAGACGCACCGGCTGATGTCGCTCGATGGGCAGGACATGCTGCACACCAAGCGGCGGACAAGCGCACTGCTTGCTGAACGGCAAACATTTCTGGCAGACGGAGCCGGGGTCGCTTTTGCCATCCACCCGGCCGAGGGCGTGCTGCGGCCGTTTGAGTCGCTTACGGTTGTTGTTGTTGCCTACAACGAGATGCCCGGCGAGTACACCGATGCGCTGGTGGTGGAGGTCGACGGGGTGGCGCCGGCGTTTGTGCCGCTCCACTACGGAGTGGTGGGCGAAGTGGTGACGCTCGAGGCCAACACGCTCGGCCTCTCGCGGGCTACCGAGACCACTTCGGCGTCCGTCCTGTTTGGTGGAGCGCTTGTGGGCGGCTCGCCGATCCGGCGGTCGGTCAAGTACGCCAACGCGTCTCCGTTTGACATCGAGGTTGCGTGGCACGTCTACAACCGCAAGGTGAACAAGACACTTGTTGACGTCGAGCTGAACGTCGAGCCAGAGTCTGAGCGGATTCAGGTGAGTGTGAGCGAGCACCTCGAGGAGGCTGACGGCCCGTTCGCCATCGAGCCTGCAGTGGAGGTCATCCCGGGTCACGGGACAGCAACGTTTTCAGTGGCGTTTGCGTCGGAGCGCGAGGCGCTCTGCCGCTCGTTCATGATCGGTTCGACGCGGCTGGTCGATCCGAGCAAGCTCCCACTCGGCGCTTGCGTCCAGGAGGACTCTGTGCAGAAGGAGCTGCGACTGGAGCTTGTGGGCCGCGGTATGGAGCCTGTGCTGATACCGGACGCGTCGCGACTCGAGTTTCACCTTCCGTACGCCGGCGAGACGCGGCCGAAGCCACCGCAGCGGCGAGTGGTGCTCTCCAACACGCTTGCGGCAGCAGTCGGATTCTCCCTCGACACCGACGGTCCGTTTGAGGTGCAAAGAGTCGAGCCGTCGGTTCCCCACGCGAGCTCGGCGGATGGCCGATGCTGGACGCTGCCTGCGGGAACGAATGCGGCAGTGTACGTGGCGTTTGATCCGTTTGATGAGGTTGGGTATGCTGCGGTCGACGGCGGAGCAACGTCAATGGCGCTACACGGCGTGCTCAATATCCGGTTTGCTACCGGCCAGGTGCAGCACCATCCCCTGGTCGGCTCGGTCGAGTATCCGCGTCTGGAAGCGAGCGCAACGGAGATCGACATGGGCAAGCTTTTTTTGGGCACCCGAAACACAACGAGCATCAAGCTGAGCAACCCGTCGCAAGCCGACGCTGAGTGGGAAGTGGTAGTTGACGAGTGCGACTCGGGCTTGCAGCTCGAGTTTGAGCCTGCGCACGGCGTGGTGCCCGGGCGGATCGGGGTGGAGCGTGCAGCAGAGCGTGTGCTTGTTGTCCACACAACAGCCCATGAAGTCGGTGCGCTTTGTGCAAGGGCGAAGATCAAGCTGGCGACTGGCGGGCCGGAGGTCTCGATCCGTAGCGAAGGCACGCGTGACGAGTGGCTCGACCGGCCGCGGGAGATGGCCAAGTACGGATAGCGGGTGCAGCAAGTTGTTTAGCGAGCAAGCAATGAACCTACCTTTATTCATTCTTTTCAACGGCGAGCGTTGGCTTCGAGGGCGACGTCCAGGCGCGCAGTTTGCAGACGCGCGCGCTGAGCCGGCGACACGGCGTCGGGTAGCGTGCCGCTGCCACTGAGGAGGGCGACAGCGTCGACGCCGAGAGTAGCGGCCATGTCGTCGACGATGGCGGCGAGGTTAGACGCCGTGGTCGAGGCGTTGAACATGGATCGCGACGAGTCGTCGACACGGATGGCGTTGTGCAGGTTGCTGAGACGGAAGACCTCGACCTGGCCGACCGAGTTGCCGCAGAGGACGACAGGGTCGTTGCGCGCAAAGACGACGGCAGTGGCGATCTTGGGCGGCAGCTCGGCGCCGTCGATGTCATCGCGGGCGAGGCCAGAGGCTGCGGCCGGCTCGCCGTGGGCGTCGGTTCCGGACGTGACGCCAGTAGCAGACGGGCCGGTGTCTGCCGCTGCTGCTGCTGCGGCGGGCCCGGTGCGAGTCCGACCCAAAAGCCCAGTAGCGGCCGAGGATGGGCGGGCAGCAGCGGCGGCGGCAGGCGGGATCGAGCCGAGCGACAAGGTGATGAGCGGGTCGAGGTAGTCCTTGAGGGAGAGGTCCCAGATCTGGAGGGTGCCGTCGTTGTTCGCGGTGGCAAAGAGAGTGGCGTCGAGCGGCGACCAGGCGACATCATTTGTGGCGTCGGCGCAGGTGCGAAAGTCGACGAGCGGTGCCTGGGCGTTGACGTCCCAGAGCTTGACAGACCAGTCTGTGGAGGAGGAGAGGAAGATGTTTGGGGCAAAGGGCGACCAAGTGACGGTGTAGACCGGGCCGACGTGGGCCGAGTACGACGCGAGGTACTGCTCATTGTACGATGAAGAGCAGCGGTGGATGTTCCCGTTCTCAGTGCCGACGAGGTACGTGGTGGGGTCGACAGGCGAAAAGGCCATGGCAAGGCCACCGACATGGCGCCAGACCGAAACCTCTGCGTCGCCGGCCTTGGTCTTTGCCGGGTTTGCCACGCGCGAGAGCGACATGAGGTTGGACTGGAACTCGAGGCCCTTTTTGATGGACCACTCCTTGACGGTGCCGTCAGTGGAGACCGAGACGAGGCGCTCGCCCTTTTCCATACCGAGGTCGACCCACTGGAGCTGCCACACCGGGTCACGGTGCATTTCGCGGATATGGCCCGAGGAAAAGATGGGCTCGTCGCACGAGGTCTGCAGGTCGTAGACGGCGATGGCGCCAGAAAAGAGGCCGACGGCGAGTAGGTTGGGGAAGCGGACCGAGGTGTCGAGGGCGGTGACGCCCGAAGGAAGACGGATGGTGCGCTCGGGGGCAAACACATTTTTGAGCGACCAGCAGAGGACAAGGCCGTCTGAGGCGCCGTGCGCGGTTCCGTTGAAGGCGCCGTAACCGACGGCAAGGAGGTCCGAGTCGCGCGGGTTCCAGCCCATGCAGGTGACGGCGCGGCCGGCGGTGGCATCGCACTCAAAGCGCCAGAGGAGCTTGAGCGACGGCTCAGCGGGCGAGTCGTCAAAGTCGAGCGACGTAGCGCGGTTGGGGTCGGCACCGTCTGCGCCTTCGCCGCCAGCGCCTACGCGGGCGGACGGCGGCTTGGTGAGCGACGGCTGCGGGACGGCGGCTGGCTCGTCGTAGTCGCGGAAGAGCTCGTCGTCCGAGTCGCGGTCGGCGTCGTCGTCGCCGAGGTCCGAGTCGTCGTCGGCGACGGGCTCGGGCAGGCCCGCGAGCGGCATGCCGCGAAACTCGAGCTGGCGCCAGTGGAAGATGTTCTGGGTCACAACGCGCTCGACAACACGCAGCGTGTCTGCGAGCGAGGCAACCCGAGCTTGCTTGGCCATGAACACCTTTGCGCGCTGCTCCATGGACATAGCCGCGACGCCGGCAAGACCCGGCAAGGCACGCTGGCCGGAGCCGCCGCGGGTCGATGTGCCTGCGGCGCGGGTCATGGTGGCGTTGGCCATTGAGCCCATGCCGGACGAGTCGAGGCCGCCTGCGGCTGCCGAAAGCGAGCCGGTGTCCATCGACGAGCGCGAGCCGGACTCGGTGATGGAAGCGTTGGATGAGAGGTCGCCGCCGACCTCGCTGGCATCGTCGTCGTCATCGATGTCGTCGGCAAAGGCGGCCTCGAGGAAGGCGTCCTCGGCGTGACGGGCCTTGGCGGCGGACGGGTCGTCTTCGTCGGCGTCGGCGTCGGCGGTGCTCGCAAGCTTTGCAGCCTCGTCGTGAATAGACCAGCCCGTCACTTGGGTGCCTGCGGTCTTCTTGAGTGGAGGATCCTTTTGGACCTCCTTGGACTTGAGGTCGCGGTTGTAGGTCTGGACACCGCGCGACGAATACGCGTCCGAGCCGACTCGGGCCTTTTTGAGCGCCTCGTAGCGGGCGTTACGGTCGAGGACGGCAGCAGCCTCGTCCGAGTCGGCCTGGACCACGCGGGCGGCAAAGTCGAGCATGACAAAGGTCTCGGTCTCGGAGAGGGTAATAGTGTGGACAGCGTCGAGGTCGTCCCGGGTGAGCGCGGCTGCTGGCTCAAAGTGGGCAGCGCCGCGCTTGGAACGGATGACCTCGACCTCGGCGTTGCCGGCGACCACAATGCCGCCGCCAGTCGAGACCGTCGTCGCGCCAAGCCCTGCGTCCGAGACCGAGTGGTTCGCGGACGGATCGTCCGAGAGCGACGAGGCCGACGAGCCGAGCGAGCCCATCGACGACTGCGACTCGAGCATGGACGCATCCATACCAAACTGCAGCTGGGTGTAGGCTGAGACAGATGGGTCCGGCGCGGTGAACTCGCCGCCCGAAGCAAAGGTCGACATGGAGAGGGTTGATCCTGGACGGGCAGCCCCACGAGCGCCTCCAGGCACCGGACCAGCCGGTCCACGACCACCAGCCCGCGATGCGAGGAATGAGACCGGGGTGTAGTCGACATCAACGCCATCTACCACCTCGTAATACCTGGCAGCCGGCGGCGGAGCAGGGCCCGACTGCCCGCCATGCGGATGACCACCGCGACCACGAGCCGTAGACGTTGACGACCGCATCGATGACCGTGCCATAGATCTCCTAGACGTTCGCGACCGAGACGATGTTGACTGGCCACTGTGTGTGGAACGTGAGTGAGTGGAGGAGAGGGGGGAGGGGGGGGGGGGGTGTGGGGGGGGGCACGTGGTCGTTGGGGTTTTT